GGCTTGCCCTTGGCAACGCCCGCGCGTCATCGCTGGGGGGGGGGGGGGGGGGGGATTTCTCCTTTGCGTTCAAAATGCAACTAAAATTCACACAACGTTGAGGTATACACTCCACTACTACACTACACTATACACTAATACACTACACTATACACTACACTATACACTACACTATACACTAATACACTACACTATACACTACACTATACACTACTATACACTACTATACACTACACTATACACTACTATACACTACTATACACTACACTATACACTACTATACACTACACTATACACTACACTATACACTACACTATACACTACACTATACACTACACTTTACACTACATTATACACTAAACTATACACTACACTATACACTACACTATACACTACTATACACTGCACTATACACTACTACACTATACACTACTACACTACACTATACACTACACTATACACTACACTATACACTACACTATACACGAGTACTGTACCAGTGATGAATTGGCACGTTCTGTTTACGAGACACAACCCCTTACTTGTTGGCTGTGTCGGGTGGTGGTGGGGTTTTCAACGACGACACAACATTTGTATACCTACGCGATCAAGCCCCCCGCCCTCCAAAATACCTCCATATTAAAACAGCACCTGCGAGTGAAACATTGAGAGCGTTAGAAGGCTCGAAGGGTGGAACCTTGACCACCCCCCCCCCCCAATCTCAGGCGAGATTGGGGGAAAGGCTCTAGCCGGTCTGCTCTGCGTTTGTTGTAGTACAGAGTTAGACTGATGGCCTTAATCTAAGTTGTCTTGTGGTTGTTGTTGTTGTTTGTTGTAGTACAGAGTTAGACTGATGGCCTTAATCTAAGTTGTCTTGTGGTTGTTGTTGGTTGTTTGACTTGCATCCCACTGGGATTTTTGCACACAGCGTTGGTGTGTAACGGTGTTTTTTTCTGCAATATTTTGCTGTCTTTTCTTTGATTTTCTGTTTGCAATCAGTCACATATTCACTTTAAGATGTTTTTTTGTTCATGTTTTTGTTTTTTGTTTGTTGCACCCGATTCAAGAGCCGAATGGCTCACAGGGCTCTATACCTAATAATTGAACTTGAACTTGAACCCCAACCACCGCCAACCCCATTCTCCTCCCCTTTACAATCCTCGTGCGTTGGATGGATATGATCACACTGTGAAACACAATTTTTATTCCTCGGTAGTAAGTGTTATTTCCTTATTGCTTATGCCTCAAAAGTACATCAAATGGCTCTTATTCCCCACAAACGTTGCTTTTGTGACCAGGACAGTGATATTTTGAAATTGACCTATTTCACTTTGTAACACGATTTTGTCCCTGGGTAGTAAGTCTTATTTCCTAATTGCTTATGCCTCAAAAGATGGCTATTATTTCCCACAAACTTTGCTTTTGTGACAAGGACTTTACGCGAAGGAACGACACAAATGCGCCCGTTTTCTCATTGAAAATAGGTACTTTTCAAAATGTCACTGTCCTGGTCACAAGAGCAAAGTTTAGTGACGAATAATTGCCATTCTCTCTACTTTTGAGGCATAAGCAATTAAGAAAGAACACTTACTACCCAGGGACAAAAATCGTGTTACATTGTGTTATTAATGGAGTGGATTATTACATTTGCCTTTGTGTCCTGGTCACAAAAGCAAAGTTTGAGGGGAATAATATCCATTGTCTGTACTTTTGAGGCATAAGCAATTAGAAAATAACACTTACTACCCAGGAAAAAAAAAATTGTTACACAGTGTAATGCGTCCCGGGTCATCACACTCAGACGGGGATCACCTGTTAACAGACGGTTCTGCTGTGATTGCTGTGATTAGTGCAAGCGGCAGGAGATACGAGAACAAATCCGCGTGCGTAATGTTCGCCGACTTGCCGTGTGAATAACCCAACCCCGTCAAAGGATGCCCATTGCAAATGTTAACGGATTTGTTAATCCCAACCCACCCACGCACCAACCCACGAATGCACTCTAACGTGAAGGGCTCACACGTGACGTGATCACATGTAGCCATCTGTTTGATGAGTAGGGAGGGGGATGTCTGCACACATCAAGGCTGTCCGCCTGATGGTGGCGGTTTGTAATTACTGGCAAAACGTCAGATTGTAAATGTTGTGGATTTTGCTCTCCAACACACCGGTGTGCTGTACTAGTATACTACACTATACACTACACTATACACTACACTATACACAACTATACACTACTACACTATACACTACTACACTATACACTACACCACTATACACTACACCACTATACACTACTTCACTATACATTACACTTCTATACACTACACCACTATACACTACTACACTATACACTACACCACGAAACACTACACTATACACTGCACTTCTATACACTACACTATAGTGCTGTACTAGTGACGAATTGACACGTTCTCTTTACGTGGCACAACCCTAACTAGTTGGCTGTGTCGGATGATGGCGTGTTTAACGACACATTTATATATTTATGTGATCTAAAAAAAAACCTGTATCATGGCTGATATTGGTCGCGAAAGCCTACGTGTTAGCTATTGTATATAGTAGTGTATAGTGTAGTAGTGTATAGTAATGTACGGTGTAGTGTATAGTGTTGTGTATAGTAGTGTATAGTGTAAAGTGTTGTGTATAGTGTAGTGTATAGTGGTGTAGTGTATAGTAGTGAAAAGTGTAGTCTATAGTTGTATAGTGTAGTGTATAGTGTAGTGTATAGTGTAGTGTATGGTGTTGTGTATAGTAGTGTATTGTGTAAAGTGTATAGTGTAGTATACTAGTACAGCAATAAACCGGCTTGTTGTGAGTAAACCAACTGCAACATTTACAATTGGAGTAGCTGTGACGTTTCGCCGATAATCACAAAAACGACAACCAGCATCATCAGGCGGACCGCCATAGTTGTGGAGACATCCTCCTTCCTCCTGTTTCGGTCTTAAACTAGTTAACGAATTTGGCACAACGTTTTGCCTGCAAGTCACAAACTCATTACTAATTGGTCCTGTCTGGCGGTGGTGGTGGTGGTGGCGGGGGGGTTTAACGACACAACATTTACATTTTCGCGATCTTTACCGACAAAACCTTCTCATATATGTGCAACGGCCGATGCACCAACGGGCGGTCACGAAGCGAACCGAGGCCTCTGATTGGTTCCCCTAATCTGGTGAGGGCCACGTGGGGTAGATGACATAGTAAGGGGGGTGGGAGGGGTTTGAAGAGAGAGGCCTGGAAGGGGATTGGCTGAAGACTGAGAATTTAAGGGATTGGGGGAAAGATGACAACGCAATGGGCGGGAAATGAAGGTTGACTGGCAGGAGAGGGGTTTGAGAAACGTTAGAGCAGAAAGTGGTGGGGGGGGGGGGGGGGGCTTTGGAAAGTAAGTTGGGGAACCTTCGGAAAAGTTGGAGGCTCGAGGGATATGAAAAGGGGAAGCACGGGGTGGATGGGGATGCTTGGAGAAGAGACACCAGCCGTGCTTGAAGGCAGTGTTCGTGTCGACACTAAAGGCTCTCAATAATATGAACCTTATGGCAGGACCCCGGGTGGTCCTGAATAAACGGAAGCCAAAATCGCAATGAATGAATTAATCTTTTGGTTCTTTCGTTAAAGTCACGTAGAAAATTAAATGAAATAATAGAATACGACCTTTCGGTTGCAACACAAGCAACCATCATCAGGTAATAATGAATGATAAAACACAGACTGGGAAACAGCATAGGCAGACAGACATGCAGAGAGAGACACACACAAAGACACAGAGCGAGACACACACCAAGACAAACAGAGTAATTCCTGCAGTCACAAAAGCTTCGAATCTAGTTTAATGAATTTATTTTTGGCGACTCCGTCCCACACCGCGTGACACAAACGACACGACCCCATCAGAATTCGATCCTCTCGTTCTTCACCAAGTGCCCGTCGTTGCCAAAATTGCCAGTAGTCATAGACGAAACTTTGAAACGTTCTGCCTCAGCAGCTTTCCCCCTCTTTTTTCTTCCTGAAGACGACCGCTTGTGTTGCGATCGAAACGTCGTGAGTTTTTTTTGTCATTTTCTTTGAACCTATCTATGTGAATCTTAATTTTAGAACTTTCGTGACTGCAGGAATTATTATTTGGTTCTTTCGGTTAAGTCATGTCTAAAGATTTTTTTAGTGTGTCCTCCTGATTTTCAGGCTTGCTTGCCGTGTCATCGCACTTGCAGCATCACGTTTGTTGTCCACTCATTGATATGCTATTTTTTCTCTAACCCCTCCCTCTCTCTGCCTCTGCCCCTCCTCTGTCTATTTAAGGCCACCCCACAGAGACGATCACCCCTCTCTGTACCTGTGTTGCCCGCTCTGTGTATCTTGGTGATACCTGTCTGCTTATATGTCTGTCTATAGTTTTCTGGTTAGATTTTATGTCGCTATTTCATTATACCTGATGATGATTGCTTGTGTTGCAATCGAAACGTCGTAATATGCTATTATTTAATTTATTATGTTATCTTTAGACGTGACTTAACCGAAAGAACCAACTAATAACTATCTACGTGACTTTACCGAAAGACCCAAAGAATATGAATTCCTGCAGTCACGAAAGCTTTAAGTCGAGATTTAAAACATTGAAACTTTGATTAGCGCATCGTGTAGAGCTCGTCGAGAGGAGGAAATAGATCGTTGTATCGCTCGCCTTCAACGGAAACAAAATGATGTCGCAACGCAGTTCATGCGAGAGCCCCGGGGGGGTTATGGGGACCCCGGGTCCCAACATAAGATTCACTATTGAAGAAACTGGTGTCGATCTTCATTGCATGCGGGTAATATTTGTCGCGAAAGACTCCTTCTCTTCCTGCTGCTGCTGCATGTTAAACTCATCAAACAAAGTTGTTGTTCGGTGTTGCCTTTTTTTGTAGGGTTCGCCTAAAGTGTGTAACGCATTTTTGTTTGTTTGAATTTCAAATTTGCAGGGAAGATTGAACGGGTCATCAAAAGAGAGTGTCATGGGCTCGAAAATAAAGACGGCCGTCTTTGTGTTTATTTCATTTCTGGTCATGATTTTCCTTTCCTCGGGATACTTAAAGGTACGCTTTCGGACGCATAGCGTACATACCTATGTTTGACTTCTTTCGCACCACAGAAACGTAGCCAACCGTGGCTAATCGGAGGTGCGGGGAAGGACAACAAACTACACACAAAGAACACTTCTGTTGAAATTAGTTTTCAATTTACAGTACTTTAGTGATGTAGTGTATAGCAGTGATGTATAGCAGTGTAGTGTATAGTAGTGTAGTGTATAGTAGTGTAGTGTATAGGAGTGTAGTGTATAATAGTGCTGTATAGTGTAGTATATAGTAGTGTAGTGTATAGTGTAGTGTTTAGTGTAGTGTATAGTAGTGCTGTATAGTAGTGTAGTGTATAGTGTAGTCTATCGTAGTGGAGTGTATAGTGTAGTGTATAGTAGTTGTGTATAGTAGTGTGTAGTGCAGTGTAATATAGTGTAGTGTATAGTAGTGCTGTATAGTAGTGTAGTGTATAGTGTAGTCTATTGTAGTGTAGTGTATAGTGTAGTGTATAGTGTAGTGTATAGTTTAGTGTATCGTAGTTGTGTATAGTAGTGTGTAGTGCAGTGTAATATAGTGTAGTGTGTAGCATACTGTGTGTAGTGTAGATTGGAGTGTGGAGTAGTGTCGTACATAGTGTGTGTACGTATGTTGAACTTCTTTCGCACCGTACATAGCCAACCATGGTAATCAGAGGTGTTGGGGAAGCAAAAAAACTAAACAAATAAGTTTGTCCATCTAGCTGTTTCCAAGGCTGCCTCCTGAGAAGAGAGCACGTCCACCTGGTTGAGGAGTGCCTTAAATTGTCCCTTCCACCTCCCCACTACCTTCTCAGTTGAGGTCGATGTTACGCCACCACCCTTACTGAGAACTGCCTGGGCCACGTCCCATCGATCCCTTCAAGGCGTTGAATGGTTTTGCCAGGACATCTTTGAGGCCCTCTTCGTGGCCTCTCCAATCTCCTCCCATGCCCCGGGGCTTTCTCTTCAGCGACAGCAACCACTGTCGTCCTCTTGGCAGGCCGGTGTCTCTCAATCGGAAAGCCTCCTCCTTCAACTTGGGAGCTTCCCTCACCACCGGAGGCCACCAGCAGGTCCTAGGGTTGCCGCCATGACAGGCACCAAATGCCTTCAGGCTACAGCTTTTTGCAGCTGCATCCATAATCGAGGTTCTGAACATTTTCCACTCCGACTCAATGTCCATGACCTCCCCTGGAGTGCAGGAGAACTTTTCCCGGAGGTGGAAGTTCAAATATTTCTGCACCGGGTCTTCTACCAGACGTTCTCAAAAAACCCGGCACTATTCGGTTGCGGCTTCCACGTCTATCTGGTCGGTGCCCCAAAAGCGTCAGATCCAACTTACCACCAGGTGGTGATCAGTCGACAGCTCTGCCCCTCTCCTCATCCGAGTGTCCATAACATACGGACTTAGGTCCGATGATACAACTATAAAGTCAATCAGTGACCTTCGGCTCAAGGTGCTCTGGTACCAAGTACACTCATGAGCATCCTTGTGTTCGAATGCGGTGTTTGTTATTGACATTCCGTGACAAGCGCAGAATTCCAATAACATCTCAGATCAGGGGAACCATTCCTTCCAATCACGCCTCTCTAGGTATCTCCCACGTGAGCATTGACGTCGCCCAGTAAGACTGTGGAGTCGGTAGGCGGCAGCTTTGTCGAGCACTGCACCATACCCGTCTCCAAGAAGGCCGTAAAACTCTGAACTGCCGTTTGGTGCATAAACACAAACAACCGGGGCAGAGTTTTTCTTTCTGAGACGCAAAAGTCTCATTGAGGCGACCCTCTCATCCACTGGGACAGACTCACAACGACAAGCGGTTCTATAGAAGTGATTTCGTCCAATCTAGCGCAATTATACGCGTCATTAATCATTGGTGAGCTAACACACCGGCTGCAGACGCCGTGCACAAATCCACTTGCTACTATTTACTAACGAAGCAAAACAATCGCTCGTTTCTGACAATGTGCCCGTTTTCTTTTTTTCTCCTCGTCAAGACGAACAACCAGCAGAAGCACGTGGCGCCAAAGCTGCACTATCAGCAAAGCGATCGCCTCCGCCCGGCGACAGAAACCACGGCGGGCCCCGCGAACCCACGGCCGCCGCCTGCCGACCGGCGCCACCGCAGGACGTCACCCTCGCCTCGTCGGCCTCCAAAAGCATCGCCACGGTCATCAACGGCAACTCGGGGACGTCGTTCGCTGTGGGCGACGTCCTCCTCGTCGAGGTCCAGATGCGCGACTTCGCCGGGCGTCCCAAGCGCCACGGCGGTGACTTCCTCCTCACCAGGCTCTCGAACACGCGGCTCGGCGCTGCCGTCTCGGGCGCGGTCACCGACCGCGGCGACGGCACGTACCTCGTGACCTTCCGCGTCTCGTGGCCCGGCGAGAGCCGTCCCGAGGTGGCGCTCGTGCACTCGAGCGAGCAGGTCGCTGTGCTGGAGAGAGTGCGCGAGGCCGTGCCTGACAAGGTCAGCTTCTGGGGCACGTTCGTGTCCGGTGGGCAGAAGGAGCGGTCTGCCTGCCACGTGTTCCTGAACGCGACGGCGGGAGGCGGCGAGCTGTGCGACTTCGGGGACGCGGAGCGCAGCGAGTCGTGGTCGTGCGCGAGGCCGAGGGAGCTGCCCTGCTACTCGCTGCAGGGCTACTCGTCGTACAACAAGTACGCGCGCCTGTTCACGGCCGTGGAGCGCCAGCTCTTCTCCGAGGTGAGAAATCGGATGGGTTGGAAAGATCGGATTTTTACCCCCCTCCTCCACCCCTTCTACCAGTCTCAGCGTCGGCTTGCGATGGTTTTCGTCGTGGGCCCACCAAATGGGATTCAAGATCGATTTGCTTTTTAACACGTAAGCTTTAGCGAGCAATATAATCGATAATTGAGGTTGTTTATTTATTTTGTTAGATCACGTAAATATATAAATGTGTCGTTAAAACCTGCCACCACCCGACACAACCAACTGTTTGTTGGGTTCTGATTGTGTACAGTTGGGGGGTCGTGAACCCTCGACCACTTGACGCAGCCAATTGACCCTTTCCCGGTTCCAATGACGTGCATGAATGTACATGTTTACGTAAGTGTACACGTACATACACGTACGTAAGTGTTCTGCAGATGTAGGTACCACTGGTTTTTCATGTCCTGCAAATGTAGATGCTGCTGGTAACTTCATATTCCACAGAAGTAGATACCACTGGTTCTTCATGTTCTGCACATGTAGATACCACTGGTTCTTCATGTTCGACAGATGTAGATGCCACTGATCTTCATGTCCTGCAGATGTAAATGCCACTGGTTCTGCATGGTGTACAGATGTAGATGCCACTGGTTCTTCACGTTCTGCAGATGTAGATGCCACTGGTTCTTCATGGTGTACAGATGTAGATGCCACTGGTTCTTCATGTCCTGCAGATGTAGATGCCACTGGTTCTTCATGGTGTACAGATGTAGATGCCACTGGTTCTTCACGTTCTGCAGATGTAGATGCCACTGATCTTCATGTCCTGCAGATGTAAATTCCACTGGTTGCTCATGGTGTACAGATGTAGATGCCACTGGTTCTTCATGTTCCGCAGATGTAGATGCCACTGGTTCTTCACGTTCTGCAGATGTAGATGCCACTGGTTCTTCATGTTCTGTAGATGTAGATGCCACTGGTTCTTCACGTTCTGCAGATGTAGATGCCACTGATCTTCACGTTCTACAGATGTAGATGGCACTGGTTCTTCACGTTCTACAGATGTAGATGGCACTGATCTTCATGTTCTGTAGATGTAGATGCCACCACCGCCATATATTTGCACAGCAGTTGAACTACGACTCTCGGTCCGAACAAGCTGCAACTGGACATTACGGGACAGCTTTGTCCGTATGTATGAAAGTTCGTAAGTCGAACGTTCGTAAGTAGAGGAGTTAGCCTGTATAATGGTCACCGTTGGATCGATTTCCAGTACGGGGAAAGCTTTCTCTTATGACACCCTCCCCCCATCTTTCCATTGCGACTCCGGTACACGTTTGAATGGCGAGGCATCTCGAGTGGAAAGTCAGTGGCCTTGTTGATGGTGTTCATTTTCTGTTTCTTTCTTCTCTTCATGTCACTTGTGCGGCAAAAGGAAGAAGAAGGGGTAAGGAGAAAAACACTTTATTTATTTATTTAAGAAGAACGAATTTATCCGTGACAATTTCAGTAACGTAAGAGAAAATGTCACGTGCAAGCTCTGCGCTGTACACTCGGCACTCTTGGCCCTGTCACATTGGATAGCGCTAGGCCAACTGTTTTATGCCACTTCATAGCAGTAAGAATGTTTAGTACTTCATGTGTATTTCACTAAAATCACATATTTCTAGACCCATTTTGTTAAGAACAAAATCTCACTTCTGGCCCGTGTTCAGGAAATCCTTGTTTGGTGTTGAGTTTGCAACTCGTTGTTTTGTTCAGGATGTTGTCCTTCCCCCGCACCTCCGATCAGCCACGGTTGGCTAAGTACGGTGGTGCAAAATAAGCTCTACGTGCGTGCAATCGATCAATCAGGTTGCATAAAATGGTGCATCGGTGCACCATTACAGCAGAATGGGAACGATACAGGGGGCATAGAGCAGCCACAGGAATGAAGACAGAAACCCGTCACAATCTCGGTGGCTAATACCGACCGAGCAAAGTCATTTGCGACTGCGCGCAACGAATAGCGTAAGAGAGGTGAGTAGCAAATACAAATAAATACAGTGATACCTCGGTTCACGAACTTAATTCGTGAACTGACTGGTCGCGAACCGAATTGGTCGTGAACCGAGGCACATTTCCCCACAGGGTTCAATGTCAATCCGGTTAATCCGTTCTGACATTTTTTTTTGGTTTTTGAAGCACAAAAATATGAAACAAATTACAATACACATTGGTACTGTACAGTATAGTAATGTATAAAGAGAGAACACTAACCTTGCTTGAGATGACTTCAGTAAGCACTCAAACGGGTGAACTGTACAATACAGTAAGTACAGTATTGTACAGTACAGTAGTACAGTACAGTACTGTATGTGCTAAAAAGCACACCAAAAAGCAAAAAGTCACTGAAAGTGTCTTCACAGTACTCACAGTACTTCTTTCTGTGTCTCTTCTTCTCTCCACGATCTTCCTACAGGAAGTCACGACCATGTGACAGCCTGGAAATAGCATTAAAATGGCCGCGGCTCCTGTTCGTGTACAGAAGCGGAGTTCGTGAACCGGAGCATATTTTTATGAACTTTTCTGTTCGTGAACCGAGTTGTTCGTGAACAGAAGCGTTCGTGAACCGAGGTATCACTGTAACTATTAATGAAAAGCAAAAAGAGACAGCTTTATTTTATATTATACATTTTATGGGAAGGAGAGTCATGTCTTCTGACTTTTGAGTCACCCTGTTCATGTTTTGAGGCGCCCTCTTCCACTAACACAATCTTCGTTGTCATTCACAGTGGGAAGCTTCACGAACCCATACCAATAAGATACATGTTGCATGCTAAGCCAAGCAACTGGTAAGTTATAATTATACATCAACTAATTTAATAACGATCATAAATCAAAACCAAGTTTGTTTAAACTATGCAGCACATACTCATCTCTCTCTCTAGCCAACTGCGATCGTTTCACATTCGGGGTGGAGTGGAGGAAGGTGATGTACGAATTGGACTTTTTAAACTCATTTGGTTGGCCAAACACACTGGAAAGACACCCCAGTGGATAGGAAGATGTTGACTACCTCGCCTGGTGTGCGGGAGGTTCGAGGATTCGATCCAGGACCCTGACAATGCCCGCTGTATCTATTGGAGGTTTCGTGTCTCTCCTCCGTTGTTTCCCTCCCCCTTTAGAATCAACATATAGTGCATTTAGAGTAATTGGCTGCTACTATAAATTTCCACGCGATAAGCCACTTCGTTTGTTGGCTCATTTCTCAATCCGCTTGCCCTGGTGAGGGTCATGGTGGTAGAATGTTAACTTTATTATACACTACGACTCTATATACTACTATACACCCACTACATTATAGAATACACTATACACTACTACACTATATACTACTATACACTACTATACATTACGATACACTACTCCACTATACAATACTACACTATACGCTACTACATTATAGATGACACTATACGCTACTACACTATATACTACTATACACTACTATACATTACTATACACTACTACACTATATACTACTATACACTGCTATAGATTACGATACACTACTATACTATACAATAATACACTATACGATACACTACACTATACACTACTGCATTATAGATGACACGAAACACTACTACACTATATACTACTATACACTACTAAACATTACGATACACTACTCCACTATACAATACTACACTATACACTACTACATTATAGATGACACTATACGCTACTACACTATATACTACTATACACTACTATACATTACTATACACTACTACACTATATACTACTATACACTGCTATAGATTACGAGACACTGTTTAACACATAGGCTTTGGCGACCAATATCATCCATAAGAGGTTTTTTTGGTTCAGATCGCCATGTAAATATATCAATGTGTGTATAGTGGAGTGTATAGTAGTGTAGTGTTTAGTAGTGTAGTGTAGTAGTGTATAGTAGTGTAGTGTATAGTGGAGTGTATAGTAGTGTAGCGAATAGTCGTGTAGTGTAAAGTGTAGAGTATAGTGGCGTGTATAGTAGTGTAGTGTATAGTAGTGTAGTATATAGTGTAGTAGTGTATAGTAGTGTAGTGGATAGTGGAGTGTATAGTAGTGTAGTGTATAGTAGTGTAGTATAGTCGTGTAGTGTATAGTGGTGTAGTGTATAGTGGTGTAGTGTATAGTGGAGTGTATAGTGGTGTTGTGTATAGTGGAGTGTATAGTGGTGTAATGTATAGTGTAGTGTATAGTAGTGTAGTGTATTGTAGCCTAGTTTATAGTGGTGTAGTGTATAGTGGTGTAGTGCAGGGGCAGTTTCTTCATTAGGGCGATTGGGCGACGCACCACCAATGTCATTCAACCACAGAGTCACGCTAGCCGTCACTGTGCCTCTGGATATAGTCCAATCAGCGTCATGCTACGTTCTGTGGAGTACCGCCTCTTTTTGGGCGATTTCCCTCCAGCTGAGAATCGCCCTGAGTGGTCCCATAGACTTACATTCAAAGATGTTTTTTTTCGAACGGGGGCGCTGCAATGCATTCTCTATGGCTTCCGGGAGGGCTCGCCCTAACGTGCTTACGTCATCATACGTGCTTACGTCATCATACGTAAGCATGTTTCATCCAACAATATAATTTCTTGCCACCTAGTGGAATCTTTAATAAAAGAAACTTGAGTGGTTTGTTTTAATAGTGAGTATAGAAACAAACAAGATGTATTGGAAGAGTCACTTTATTTTTCATTAATATTAAAGAAGTGAAGTTGCCTTTACATGCTTAAGCTGTTAATTTATCCATTGCATGGGTGGACCTTATCCTTATCAATCATCCAGACATTTGCCCCCCCTGAGAGATTTTGCAGGAGCCGCCACTGGTGTAGTGTATAGTGTAGTATACTAGTACAGCACACCGGTGTGTTTGAGAGCCAAGCCACAACATTTACAATCTGAGTACGACGTTTCAGGATCGTCGGTTATCCGGTGGCTTTGGGGAGATGGGGGCGTCGGTTTTTAAAAAACGTCAGATAATCACTACCAAATCGGTATTTAAATGGCTTATTTTTTGCACATTCTTGCATGACATTGCGTATTTGTTACGTGCTGCGTGTACGTTTTTTTGAGTGCTTTAAATTACTTTACTCTATGAAATTGGCATGAACACACAAATAGACGAATTATAATGTTCATCCGACTGTTAAAAAGTTACCGTATTGACTGCACCGTACTTACCACTCAAAAATCTCGAAGACTCCCGTTCCGCGGGGCGATGTTATGTAGCACCGCTCACGCTTTTTAAATCCTTTATATTAAGTTCACTTGCTTGCTTGCTTACGACCGTGCAAATCTTTCGGTTGGTTTTTATCCCACTTCCCGTGATCCATTCGAGCTGACATTTTCCACACATACTCGTTGTGCGTGACAATTAATGTTCGTGAAATTTTTTTTCCAAAATTTTACACTTTTTAGGACAAAAATATTATATTCAATCACCAATTGCTTAATGCTGCCATGCAATCATCTAACCCATAGGTGGCAGCCATCTCAAGCCAGAGGACGAGAGGACTCTAGCCGCCACGCATATAAAGGATTTATAGTGAAAAACTTTGTTTTTACGGGTTATTTTTTTTTGTTTCAACACCCACCTTGGACATAATGACGTTGGAAGCAGGCGGACAATTTTGCGCAGTGCCGGGTGAGATGTAGTGTGCGACATGGATCTCCAATCTCCCTCTTCCCCCCCTCCCCCCCTTCCCCTCCACGTGTGTCCAGTCGGAGTCGCGACAACGAGGTGCGTGCCCGGGTTAGGATTGCCAAGCCCCAGCGGCTTTTACTTCAAGGGCGCTTGGCAGTCGACGGTGTGCGGCATGAGGCGCTTCGACACGCCGGCGAACGTCACCGACTGCTTGAGGCACAAGGAGGTGTACCTGTTTGGAGATTCCACCATCAGGCAGTATTGGGAGTACCTCAACAAGTTCGTCAAAGGTAAGGGGGCGGCTAGATGGTGCTCGTCGTCGTTCGTTCGTAACAAAGGCGGTGGGTTGTTTGTGTTTGTTTGTTTTGTCGGGGTTAGATCGCGTGAATCTGAATGTGTCGTTTAACCCGCCACCACCCGACACAGCCCAATCAGCAAGAGGTTTGTCACTTAAACAAAACGTGGGCCAGTTCGTTACCACCATGGGAACCTCATTTGCCAGTAAAAATATGATAATTGTTTTTTTTTGGTCCACACCCGAGACAGCTTTCCTTAGGCTCTAAGGAAAGCTGTCTCGGGTGTGGACCAATGAACTTCAAGGACAATGCACATTATCAGAGTTATGTCTTTTGTTTGTATTATGACTGCAGGTATTGTGGTCTATGCAAACATGACTCCTTGTAAAAAGGTGTCAGTTTTGTTGCCAGATAGAAGGGTAAAAATCCAATTATCAGTTCGTTACCAGTTCAGCAATAAAAAGGTTGTGTGTTGGAGATTAAACCCACGACACATTTAAAGTTTGTATTTTACGCGATCTAACCCAAAAAAACCTCTATCATGGATAAAGCCTACTGCGCGTTAAACTCACAGGACCGGCTCAGATAAATCGTCACTCGTGTTGGGGGCTGTGAGCGGGGAATCGAACTCGGGTCGCCAGGTCCGTAGTGCAGCACTAACCACTATACGATCGCAATGTATCGTTCATAGGCTAATATGTTTAAGCTCTTCTCTTGTTTAACTTTACAACATAATACAGATTCTTTTGTTGGGGTTAGATCGCGTACATATATATAAATGTTTCGTTAAAGACGCAACCGCCCGACACAGCCAATTAGTAAGGGATGTCACGTAAACAGAGCATCCCACAGGTTAATCCCCATTGACGAATGGTGACTTGTATAGACATGCATTTAAACAATGCATTATTTGCTGATTCACTTCCATACGGCACTGAAAGCCTGCAGCTGTCCGAACGGTTACAATCATGAATTGTTACCTCTCTCGCTTTCGATACAACGTTCCAATTTCGCACCACCGCTTCACTATTGCACACTCGGGCACGTGCGTACGAATGTGTTATTTGCTGATTCGCTTCCACGCGGCACTGAAAGCCTGTAGCTGTCCGAACGGTTACAATTATTACTTGTTACCTCTCTCGCTTTCGATACAACGTTCCGATTTCGCACCGCCGCTTCACTATTGCACACTCGGGCACGTGCGTACGAATGTGCACAACCAAACGCGTGACGCAGAGGTGCATTCGCGCGCTCGTCTGTTCTCTCGCGCAGCTTTGAAACGCTTCGACCTCCACAAGCCCGGGACACATCAACCGAAGTTGGCGATCGACAACGAGAACAACATCATCCTGGAGTGGTTCTGCCACGCCTACCCGCTCATCACGGGGTCGTACACATACAAGGAAGACGTCCGGCACATCGCCCGACGCATCGACGAAATATCCGGCGGGAGCCACGTGGCGGTGGGCATCTGCCTGGGGGCTCACTTCACCGTCTTCCCGCTGGTGGTTTTCCGCACGCGAATGCGAAACATTGGCGAGGCCGTGAGGAAGCTGTTGCTGAGAAGCCCCGAGACGAGGGTCATCGTCAAGTTGGCCAACACGCGAGACGTCCGCAACCCTGAGATATTCAACAACTGGAGCACGTTCAGGATGAACGAGATCACCCTGGACGTGTTCAAGGGCATGAACGTGGCCTTCGTGGACGCGTGGGACATGACCGCGTCGATTAACTCCGCTAAAATTCACCCCGTCGAGGCGATAGTGAAGAACCAAGTCGACCTGTTTCTGTCGTACATTTGTTAGATTTTGAGTTCGGTCGAAGAATCGCCGGGGGAAATCGTTTTTTTTCGTGGGGGTTTTAAAGTTGGGTTTTTTGGAAATGGGGGAGAGAAAAATGGGTTAATCTTGTAGTCGTGAAAAATCATTATGGCATTTTAAATTGCTGATTTTTTTTACACGGGATAGATCAGGGACGGGTGAGTACTAGGGGCCAGAGGGGAGCGGCTATAGGGAATAGCTCAGAGAGGAGGCGGGTACGCAGATTTTGAAAGGGCGGTTGCTAAGAGTAACAATTTGCAGGAAGCGGTGCATTGAAGTTCCCGTCTGTGCGAATCCGCGTGGCTGTTCCACTATTTACCCATTAAAAAAACATGAATACCACCACCGCGCGACTATGTCCAGTTTGACACGAAAAAAATCATGCACGGAGCGTACACGTTGACGAGTGACAAGAAGAGCGGGAATTCCCCGCAGTTGTCACCGGACTGCCCCAGGGTGTCTCCTTCCGGGCACGGTGCAAACTCATCGTGCCCTCATCCCTTTCTGGCTGTGCCCTCAGATGTTGCGAAATCCTTAACGATCCACGTGGCACAAAACCCCTCCTCCTCCTCCCCCCCTACGTCGGCAGAAAAGACCCCTTGGGGGAGGATCTGAAACGGGGCATGGAACGAGACATCGACGCGCCCTGCTCGTAGACCTTTTACATCATCGTCATCATAGCCAGGAAGACTGTAACTGGTTAACTGGAAGGATCATGAGGCCAACCCCTTCATAGAAGCAGTGGCACAGCGCAATGGGCAAGCATGGAGCATTTTAGACGTAATATTTCGAGAAAAGGAGTTTGGGGGAGCTCGAGACCAGGTGGGCCACTTTGTACAGAGTTTTAAATGGGCCGGTCGAAATAGCGGGGCCTTGGAAAAATCGGGTTGGATAGCCGCCTGGGTGTTTGAGCGGAAGCGAAACTCGGAATGTTTGTTGGGTACGTTGAACTTCTTTCGCACCGTGCATAGTGAACCGTGGCAGTGTTGAGTCTATGGGCAGTGTTGAATCTATATGGGTAGTGTTAGTCTATGGGCAGTGTTGAATCTATATGAGTAGTGTTAGTCTATGGGCAGTATTGAATCTATATGATTAGTGTTAGTCTATGGACAGTGTTGAATCTATATGAGTAGTGTTAGTCTATGGGCGGTGTTGAATCTATATGGGCAGTGTTGAATCTATATGGGTAGTTTTCGTCTATGGGCAGTATGTATGTATGCATGGTGAACGTCTTTCGCACCGTACCTAGCCAACCGAGGCTTATCGGAGGTTTACAGAATCATCAACATCAGCAACAGCAGCAAACGTTGCACTGCTGGGTGAAGACTTCTCCAAGCCATCACCACTTCTCACGGTACAGTCTCTCGCTCTGCCAGACTTGACTTGCAGTCACTTCCGTCACTCAGGCACCTCTAATCGCTCCTTTTCAAGTGAATTCCGGCCACGCCTCCACGGCGTAAACAATCGGAGGACTTTACACACCGCGCTTCGTGATGTATGGACGTGGCATTATTTTACTCGGCGCAATATCGTGATCGTTGTAATTCACGATGTAACTTGAAATGTGATGTTTCTCGGGGAAACTATTTTACGAGTTTAACACGTGAGGCTTTCGTTTACGTAACAGTTGCGTTTTTATCCCTTGCTTGCAAATATTTTCTTTAATCATAATCCTTAATTTAGTTAAGTATTTAAATATATAATTTCGTAATATACTCTACATTACGTGATTGTGTAATAAAGGGCTCTTAGGCGATATTGGTCTCCGTCTGTCCTTTATTGGGTTCTTGTCTCGCACCCCGCGATGTCCCCGATCGGACCCGCACCTCTTCCGTCGCGTGCCCCCCACAAGCCGTTCGATTCCTCCGCTCTCTCTTTCTGCAGCCACAACGCTGCCCGTGTGCCCCGCACACTCTGCAGCCACTCCGCTGCTCCACGTCCACCGCTGGCCGACGGTGCCGTGACTTCAACCGCGGGGCAATTCGTGCCACTCCTTCGCCAGCACTCTGCGTGGCCTCCCCTATCTTCACTCTCTCTCCACTCCCGATCCCCTTCCGGTTCTCGTCCTATATCCTCCTCCTCACGTGACCCTGACTCCTCCTCCTCACGTGACCCTGACCCCGCCCCCACTCACCCCGCAACCAGGCTCCACCTCCCCTAATACCCCAGCCCGCGTGAGTGGTGCGAAGGCAGCGCCCACCCTTTCCTTGCTTGCATTACAATTGGTTTACAATTTCATATTGTTTCTCTCTTCGTTATGTATTCATTTTCATTTCTTCCAGTGCCTTGTTGGAACGCCTGGCCCTGCCCCCGAGCCGTCCAGGATCTCCGCTCATACTCGAGGCAGGAAGAGCACAACGCGTTTCGTGCGTGAGAGCAGTCTGAGAGATGCGTGGTGTGATGCGTGCATGTTGAAGTCTTTACGATATGGCATCAGGGCCGGATTAAGGAGTGGGGGGCTCTAGGGGCTGCAAGCACAGGGGACAGCTGAAGGGCCTCCAGAGATGAAGTGAAAAGTTACTTCATTTGTGAACGCTGAATTTTTTTTGTCGTTAACCCTTGTAAAAAAATACATTTTATTTTTCTTTAACTTTGTTTTCCTTTTGAAAATATTACTGGGGGGGGCCTCACCGTACCTGTGTTAACACCATTGGAACCTCCTTTGCCAGTAGAAAAATATGAAAATTGGTTTTTTACCCTTTTATCTGGCAACAAAACTGACCCCATTTTTTTTTTACAAGGAGTCATGTTTGCATTGACCACAATACCTGCATTCGGAATGCAAACAAAAAACATAACTCTGATAATGTATGCACTGTCCTTAAAATTGATTGGTCCACACCCGAGACAGCTTTCTTTAGCGCCTAGTCTCACATGGTCCAACACCATGTGAGACTAGGCGTACCTGTGTTGTGCAGTACTATAAGGGCTGTTGCCGTTTATTAAACCACTCTCACACTCGGCATTCAACACTCACACCCGTGTAGGTGCACTCTATCTCGATCCTTCACCCGGACACCGAAGACTCTTTGGACACTACCCTCGGCTCTCTCGCTCGTCTGACCAGAGCGGGGGATCAGCCAACACCGCTCAGCGACGAGGAGAGGGACCCTGAATCTAGCCGCTCCTTACCCTGTCCCCCAACGACGACCTCGCCCCCGTCAGGGCTCCCTCTTAAGAACCCCTTGGGCGGCTCCTCCCCCCCAGCTCGGCACCACCCACGTTCCCGAAAGTGATTTCCGAAAGCCCCTTACGTAACCCGTGACGTTACGTCATCCCTGACTCTCAACCCGCTCGCCCCCCTCATTGGTTACTCACAATACTCCTCTACACCTGTAGCCCAGGGGGCCTACAAAATCTTTATGGAATATGGGAAAACCCGACCTGAATTCCACTGAACGGCAGCCGAATCGTCTAAATACCGGCACTCTAAACGCGTTGCTTGAACCCGGGGCGCTCTTCTGGGCTCTGCGGGTTGTTCGCAGCACAGATTCCGGATGCCTTTGACTCGACGCCCGAGTTCGACCCGTGGGAAAACCCGACCAGAATTCGACTGGACGCGCGCGGCCTCTGGACTCGTCCGCTTTCCCTTACAGTCGGACAAAAAACGCGGCACTGCTCTTGAAAAGCTTTCTTCTGCCGCAAGGTTGCCACTTGCCAACTGCGAGCAAAGTGGAGGGTGGGTGGGTGGGGGGCGTTCCCCGCGATGACCACGGCGCACTCCTCGGTGCAACGGCAGCGGCGGCAGAGACGGCTCAGTGAGGCGCGGTGGGTCCCAGGCCAGGCAGGCAGCGCGATCTGCCGCGGGGTCTGGTTGTTGTTGCAATGGTGGTTGTTGTTGTTGTGATGGTGGTTGTTGTTATTGTTGTTGTGATAATCGTGGTGGTTGTTGTTGTGGTGGTTGTTGTTTTGTGGTGATTATGATGGTGGTTGCTATTGTGGTGGTTGTTGTGATGGTGGTGGTTGTTGTTGTTTTTGTGATGGTGGTTGTTGTTGCGGTGGTTGATGTTGTTGTGATGATGGTGGTTGTTAGATGCTGATGGTGGTGGTTGTTGTTGTGCTGGTTATTGTTGTAGTGTTTGTTGTTGTGATTATGGTGGTTGTTGTGATGATGGTGGTGGTTGTTGTGATGGTGGTTGTTGTGATAATGTTGGTGGTTGTTGTGGTGGTTGTTGTTGTGCTGGTTGTTGTAATCGTTATTGTGTGATTATGGTGGTGGTTGTTGTTGTAGTGGTTGTTGTTGTGATGGTGGTGGTTGTTTTTGTGATGATGGTGGTGATTGTTGTGGTGTTTGTTGTTGTGACGGTGGTTGTTGTTGTGATGGTGGTGGTTGTTGTGATGATGGTGGTGGTTGTTGTGATGATGGTGGTTGTTGTGGTTGTTGTTGTGATGATGGTTATTGTTGTTGTGGTGATGATGGTGGCTGTTGTTGTGGTGGTTGTTGTGATGGTGGTTGTTGTTGTGGTTGTTGTTGCTGTTCTACCGCCTTCTCCTGGCGAGCACCAGGCCCACGTGGCTCCTCGTCGACTCGCCCTCGCGGGGAGTTCACGGCAGCGTCAGTGCCTGATCCACCACCCCCCCACCCTCCCTTCTCAGAATCTGAAGTTTGTAGTGCAGGAGGAATCCGATGAGCTATGAAGCTCTTTGCGTTCACAGTAGGGCTGAACGATGAATCGATTTAAAATCGAAATCGCAATTTGACAAAATGCGATTAACAAATCGCAAACGCTGTGATCTTTTGCGAATTGAAAAGTCCTATTACTTTTCGATTTAAAGCTTTCGTGACTGCAGGGATTAATCTTCTTGGTTCTTTCGGTAAAGTCACGTAGAAGGGAAGTAATAAAATAATAAAAATAAAACATAATTAAACATGTTTCATTTTTATTATTTTATTACTTCCCTTCTACGTGACTTTACCGAAAGAACCAAGAAGATGAATCATATTACTTTCTTATTGTAATTGTTTACGTTTTATTATTATAACTCTATTTATTTAACTTAACAATTGGTCTATATTTCATTGTTCTATTTCAATTGAAACATTTGAATAAATACGTGTTGGAAGCAATTCATATCTTTCAAGTTATCATCCTTGTGTAGTGGGTCAATAACTAGAGGAGTCTCTTTCTGAGGCAACACGTGATTATTTATCAGTAACCGCTTAACACAGAGGGGTAACGGCCCCTCACACCTGATAACTATGGAGGTCGTTCCGCCAGAATGAATACGCCTCACACTGGCTATTCTAACCCTTCTTGAGTGAAGATGGGTCTTCACTGGTATATAAGCTTTAGCCCACCCTTGCCAGGGGTACGGTTCTGCCCATTGGGCTCTTCTCTTCAGGAGGCTCTTGATCTTCGGGTAGACGACGACTGCCAGGACCGTTCGGAGGTCCGGGTTTTTATACAAGTCCGTGGCTTGCTCCGCCCCGGCCACGCCTTCCTTCCAGACCCTTCCACCAGGTCTTGGGAGGGTGACATCATCCTCCAACCCCCTACTGGGGGCAGGGGTCTTCGTCCCTGGTTCCGCTATCCCATAGGGGTTACCGTTGGCCCTTTCGGCCATAGTCCCTGGACACTGGGCTAAGTCACTCTTCTGCCCCCTATTGACACATGTGGGATACTACCAGCTGACAGCAGTGGGAGTGCACAATAATACATCGACACTTGCATTCGAATATTTCGAGCAATTCATATTTTGATGATATCACGTGGTAATGCTCCATCACAAGTTTTAAGTCTATTACGCAGTGAATATTGAACTGCAGATTGACTTAAATATTTTTTAGCGCAAATCAAATCGCACAACTGCATTGCTGTTGTTTGTGTTCTCTATTTTTTATTGTAGAATCGACGATACAAGTGTTACGATACCACTGTCGTACATTTATACTTTTAAAAATTTATATTATTATTGTTGTATATCTCCCACAACCCATGACACCACGAATTTATAAAGACATCCAAGTTTACCATTGCTAATCACTGCACCACTATCAATTACACCCTCCAGTGTATAAACACATCCCAGTTCACCATTGATAATCACTGCTCCTCTACACTACAGTCACACTCCTCTGGCAGGGTGAATACATCCACGTTGGCTTCACACACACACAGAGCAGTACTTATTTTATCAACCCCCCCCTCCCCCCTAAAAAGGTTGTGATGATTGTTTACGCTCAGACCCCCCTCCCCCCCTTTCTGACGGGCAGCCACCAAGCCAGTCGAGTGATGGTGACGAGGGTGGCGAGCGCCGTGCGTCGTGGCGTTTGCCCTCTGCGCTGTTCGCGTTCACCTCCCTCAGGACGCACCACTCAGATCCACGATCCTCACTGACTCACCAAATGTATAGTACGAAATCACAAACCCCAACCACCCCACTCCCAGCCCCACTCCCAGCACAGGATGTAGGGGCTGAGTGAAAGTTTTATAAAACGAGTGCAACGGCGCCATGGAGTCGGCGCTGTAAAACGACAGCAGCCCCGCGTCCCAGTCCAGGTGAACCCCGACTCTCCGCAGAGGCTCCCTCACCGACAGTGACGTCTCTACCCCGCCATGCCACACTGAGAAGCTTTCGCCATATTTACGTAGACACCACGAGACGTCACTCCCTCCCAGGCCGCACTTATCACCACCCCCTCTCCGTGGGATCATCCCGTACGCGACTCCAACATCACACGACCACGAGCTCCCCACGTCCACCTCCCAGTAGTGCTGACCCGACGAGAAGCTCTCAGAGCACAGGGCTTGTCGCCAGCCATCAAAGCGGTGTGGGTGATCGGGGCGACTCTGGGGGTGCCTGCTCCACGTCACCGTCCTGAGATCCGAGGAAATCTGGAGGCGGTCGTGGGCTGAGTTCGTGTCCAGAGTCGGCGAGCGTCCATCTGTGGTGAGGACAGCGACGACGCTCGCACAGTGGTCACGCGACGCGTGCGCAGTAGCGGCACGAGCAGTGCACGTGGCGTGTACACACACACACAGACACGTGGTGTGTACACACACAGACACGCTGGTGTTGTGTTGTCTGTTGTGATGTTGTGGTCATACCGCAGTACGTGATACGTTTATACGTAACACTGTGATCCTCACGGGTATGACAAATGCGTACAGTATTCGTAAGTATTTGTGTACACATACTAATATTCGTTACTATTAGTGCACATATACTAATATTCGTTAGTATTAGTGTACACATACTAATATGAGTTAGTGTTAGAGTACACATGCTAATATTCGTTAGTATTAGTGTACACATACTAATATTAGTTAGGGTTAGTGTACACATACTAGAAGCGTAGAGGTGCAGTACAACAGTGGATCACGCTGCGCTGCCCTCTGCTGCCCACCCCATCGCAACGGTGTAAGGTTTTTATATTAATTAAATTAATTTCGATGCTCGAAGATCTCCAGGTCCTCTGCTTTTGCCCCTCCGCATTTAGGAACCCGCGTTCAGAGTACTCGGCTGCCGCTATAAATGTCCACGCAATGATGATGATGATGACGACGATATCAGCCTCTGCGTAGCGATAGACGCACTGCGCTACGAACCCGGCAATCCGAGTTCGATTCCGGCTCACGGCCAACACCGGTGACGATCATCTGAACCGGTCCTGGGCTTCATTAGGTCGGCTCAGCCTCAAATGAGTTCCTGATGCGGTGTGTAAACGTTGCCACTAGGGAGACAAAGGCGGCTGGGCGTGGTGTTGGCCACCCACCCCCTCGTGTACCGTGCCGGCCTTCATAGTTGCTCGTTAACAGCACTTGCCCCAAAAGTCTGTTAAGGCTACACGGGGTTCTTTGCTTTTGGGTTAGTAGGTGAGTGAGTGGGTGATCGAGTGGTTGAGTATGTGAGTGGGAAAGAGAATGAGTTGGTGAGGTAGTGAGAGTGTGAGTGGGTGGGTGGGTGGATGGGTGGGAAAGTGAGTGGGCGAGTAAGAGTGTGAGTGGATGGGTGGGTGGGATTCTTACAGTGGAACTCTGGGACCCCAATCACTGACATTCCGTGGCACCTTTTTAAGTCCCCGGTTGTGAAGGCTGCCATCGCGATGACAATGAAACAGATGCAGTCTCCATCCTGCACTTCGTTTCATGTTCACAGTTTAATCCCAAATTTGCCGGCTAGTGAGCGTCCTAAAAGCAATAGGTTCCTTATCCTTTGGGTCTTTCGGTAAAGTCACGTCGATAGGTACAAATTAATAAAAATAGTTTTTTTAAATGAACATATTTATTATTATTAGATAGACATGAAACCTCTTTGTAAAAATGATCAATATAAAGTAAACATATTTATTAGTTGTATTAATTTGTACCTATCTACGGGACTATACCGAAAGACCCAAAGGATATGAATTCCTGAAGTCACGAAAGCTTTCAGTCGAGGTTACTTAACATTTGGGCTCACGTTCATCTTAATTCTCACCTAGCGGCCACTTTCCTCAACGAACCGTGCACCCACTGCACCCACGCGTGATCGTCAGCGTCTGAATGAAGGTGACAGGACTGGGACGTGCTTCGACCGTAGCTTACAAAGTCGCCCGTTTGCTCTCAAAAAACGCAATGTCATGTTGCTGTTATTGTTTGCACCTCTTGATGAGCGAGACCCATCTTTCACACAGAACCTTGGTGCGGTTTTAATGACCTGAATATACACAGGTTTTCCTTGCCAAGGGGGTCACGCTGCATGAATGGATTAAAGCCAAGGGTAAAATAAAGGACTACCTCCAAATGGGTAGGATTTGTCGGCAATCCGGAGTCTGTGATGGAGTCTAACGAAGTTCCACGTGGCAGAGGGACGTACCGAGAAATGGCAGAAGTTTAGTTTGGACGCCGCCCACTGAGATGACTTTTGCGAGGTTCAAACTGTGGGAGCCGGGGGCTGGGTCATCCTGAGTCTCCTGGGAGATGCAGCTCCTCCTGCACTCACACCACAGGACACACACAGTCTCGTGAGGGTCCATGTTCCTCTACACACACAGCATAGGACACGCAGAGTCTCATGAGGGTCCATGTTCCTCTACACATACGGGACAGGACACGCAGTATCATCAGGGTCCATGTCTCTTTACACACGGGCAAGACAGGCAGTCCTTGACTGAAAAAACGTCCGTACTTATGAATCACATTCCATTAAATATGAAAATTTTTTTACTTAAAACACGAACTCGCAATTGCAAATTGAACCGCAGAACTAATTTGTTCAGATGAGCGATCCTCCACGCAATGTAATGAGTCGGACTCGCGCTTGGAGTGAGTGTTTACGTGTGTGTGTGTGCGTGCGGACGTGTGTGTATATGTGAAACCTTGAGTTTGTGGGGAGCGGTGGTGTCGCGGTGAGTGCGCTACGGATGAAAGTGGCGACCCAGGTACGATTCTCGCTCACGGCCAACACTGATCACGATTATCTGAACCGGTCCCGGGCCTCCCCGAGGTCGACTCAGCCTCAAATGAGTACCTGGTTTGGTGTGTAGTAAACACAGCTAGCACTGGGGAGACAAAGGCGGTCGGGCGTGGTGCTGGCCACCCACCCCCTCGTGTGCCGTACCGGCCTTCATAGGTGCTCGCTAACAGCACTTGACCCTACAGTCTGTTAAGGCTACACGGGGGATCTTTGTCTTTGTGTGTGCGTGCGTGCGTGCCCCATTTGTTGTGGTGACTAATTTCCCCCCGCCAGCTTCCAACTGCAAGCTCGCATCAATGTAATCGAAAATACATTTTCGCTTTCTATTTATGTTAATTTATTGTACGTTTAATTTCCTATACAGTATTTCTTTACAGTGTTAGATGAACATGTACAACATTTCTTCTTAAATCATGAGTTTCACAATGCTTCCCTTTTTGTTGAACCGTAACACCTTTTATAACACTGATCGTGTCGGCATCTAAATACGGTGCATTACTGTTTTCCGATTTACGAACCGTTCGACTTACGAACGATTCTCCGGAACAAATTATGTGCGTAACCCGAGGACTGCCTGTATGGGATGCAATTGACCATATGTGATTACAACTGCATACATTTGGGTTTATTAGGATTCACATCACGACCGTTAACTGATTTGTCCACCAGGTGGCAGACAGAGCTCGAGTTTAAGTCTGGGTTGGTACTGACCTGAGACTCTCATGCAGGGGATCCTGAAAAACACAAACCCGCATTTCACATTAACATAGACATCCTAAACAGATGCCCTACATCCACACAGTCACCTGTTTACGGTAGAGCCTGACATCAAGGAATTTACAAATACCTAGAAACGGAGAATGGTGCAAAAATAGGGTTATCTATGGAACTTAATTTCCAATATCGAAATTTTGAAAAATAAAGAAGAGGCTTTATCCTTTTTGGAAATTAAACGAAATGTTAAGATGTTCAAACACCAAACAGATACCTATTGCAAGGCATCACTACTCAACCAGAGATATTCAATCTTTGAAACTTGCAGCCTTTGTACTGTTAAGCCTATTCCTGCTTTTTCATCAAAAAACAGGGTTCGTTTAACTGGACAAGGACAGACCCCAACAAATGACAAAGCCACTCTAGCACCTAAACAAATAGTTAAAAAAAAGTTCGACAACTTCTGTTTCGAACTCTGAATAAACTCAACTTTGTATTTTACCAGATAAGGCACACTTGGCCGTGTCGCTATTTTTCAGAAGCGACGTGGCCACAAATGATAGCTCAACAAATTGGCTTATCACGTGGACTTTTGCATTAGCAGCCAAATACTTTAAACGCCTGATGTTGATTCTAAATGCGGAGGGGAAAAAAATCAGAAGACCCGGAGACAAAATCTACGCGACCACGGGGGGAGAGAGAGAAACGCAAACTCGAAATACAGTCGACCCTTCCACATCGCGGGGGTTAGGGGCGCAGGCCCCCCGCGATCTGGAAAAAACGCGTAGTTTTTTTGGTCACCTTAGTCCCCTTTGTGAGCGAAGCGAGCACCTCCAGTTACCTCTACATTTCCAACCGCTGCGTGTCATCTGCTGGCTTTCGCGTTCTTTTCGCAAACTTTGACTTTTTACAAAATGTAACTTTAAAAAAGAGAATTGGGTATATTTATGGTATTAAAATATAAAAGAAGATTCATATTAAACAGTACTGTACATATATTTTATTAATTTATGAGTTACTAAACTTTTTGTGTGTTGTCTGCGGCTTTCGAAAAACTCCCAAAAACTCCCCAAAAATTCCCATTTTATTTCTTATGCCGACCCCGCGATATATCGAAACCGCGATGGAGAAAGTCGCGATGCAGAATGGTCGACTGTATACTGCTGGCATCGCCAGGGTCGGGGCCGAACCCACGACCTGCATAGCAGGCGAGGTAAATGGCGATGTTGTACTGGAAAAGTCCAGGTCTGAATGTCACAAGGAAAGCAAACGCGCGTCTATTTCTTGAGACCACCGCTTCCTCCCAGATCGATAAAACGCTGAAGTAAGATTACCAACAGTGTCAAGGTCTCACAGGGAGGCGCTCCTCTGCTGGTTGTAGCTAAACCCTCTGATGAACCAAGGCTGTGAGTATAAACTATTATATATTATAAAAAATATGTTTTACCTTACCAGGTAAAGCCCACAGAGCTATGTAGCTCTGCTTCAGAAGTAACCTTGAAAGAAATGGTAACTCAACAAAGTGGCTTATCGCGTGGAAATTTAAAGCAGCAACATCACTCTAAACTCGTGGTGACGTCGATTCTAAATGTGGAGGGAAAAACCGGAGGACCCAGAAAATAATCCATGCATCTACGAGGAGAGAGACAGAGAGACATGCAAACTCTAAATATACAGCAGGCGTGAGGGTTGGTATCGAACCGACGACCTCCTGCATCCCAGGCGAGGTAGTTAACATCTCATAGCCACCGCGGCGAGTGAATGGAGGTGGTGCCACCTGCAGGAATGTGAAAGGGTCCTGCACGGCGAGTGCGGCGAGCAACTGGTTGATCTCCCGCTCCAAGTCGTGTGCTCTGATCTCGTAGTGAGCGATGTCCGCCCGGATGCGGGACAGCACAGAGCGGCCCTCCTCGTCCACGCGCTTCAGCGCCTCCCTCTCCTCCTGCCTCAGCTGCTCCCTCCGGCGCTCAAACTCTCGGCTGATCCGCGCCTTGGTCCCAGGCAGAGACTCCTACGCGGAGACAGTCGACGGCGCGCTCTCGAAACACAACGCGACGCAGCGCGTTGCAACTTCATGAAAGACTTCGACACGGCCACGGTCTCGTGACTCCGTACGAAGAGGCAGGTGATGTAATGTTTGAGAACGAAAGGAGGAGGATTTAGCGAGAATATTCATGGTCACCCAAGTATCTTAAGTACCTATATTGTTTGCATGTCTGTCTAAATCTGCACGTGTCTGTGTGTCTCTCTGTACCTGCACGCGATTGTAGGCGCCCCTGAGCTGCTGTGTCCGTGATTCTGCCGCAGTCTTCTTCTTCTCTCTCTTCCTCATCTCGCGTCTGAGCGCCTTCTATTTACGGGGTAGACAAATACGCGGTGTTTGGTGACTCCCATCATTGTCATCATCATCATCATCTGGCCCATGTCTTCAACCCGGAGCCTTGCAGGCCGGTTTCCCGGATCGCCCAGAGATAATCATCATCGCCCCTTTGAAACGTCCAACCTCCCAGGCTGACGAGGTGGTCTTCGGTGGGCAGCACAACACTCCTGTCCCAGGTAGGTGGCTGGATCACAGCGAGGTTTATTGAAGGGGTGCCCCACTCGCACGCTCGAGTCTTCTCCAGTTTTGCCAAACAATGGAATCTAGCGGAACCGATAACCATAACCACCCCCCCCCGATATATCCACAGAGCAATTTGCATGCCAACGTTCTGTCACGCAATGCAAATAAGCGGCGTCTGTTAGAGGCGGTTTCATTTTTTTACACGAACTCTTGTAACAGAATAAAATCTAAATCTGCCCCAATCGACGATCAAACCGTGCCCGACGGCCTCGCCTCTCCCACTGAATTGGCCTACCGTTTGCCTCTTTGTAAGTCCACGGTCAGTGCACTTTTGAGGCGTCTCGCGTGTGAAGCATCTCGCGTTACTCTAAATTTCTCTCATTGGTACTCTCTGCGTACGAATCTTATCACGCCAAGTGTATTTTAAATCTTTGCCAGCCATGCCACAAAGCGCTCTGTCTTATGACTAAACCATGGAACACCCAGCTTTGCCATCCGTTCAAATCAACATGGCCACCTTCCGTGTCTTTGCTGTCTATCTTGTGCCAGTTTTTCACAATCAGTGTTGCCCAAAGTGATTTGATTGGCCGTCACAATGCTGACACAACAGGACTTGCCTAATAATGTGCAAATATAAATTATAAAATACAGACTCTCTAGTAGCAGGAAATTGGATTATCAGCAATTTATATCTCACCTGTCTTGTCTGTTGTGCATTTTCCACTGGAACGACCTCATGTCCTCTATGTTCCTGAGCAACGGTGCAGAGTGTGCAGACGGGGCTCTCGTCTTGTTCACAGTAAAGAATGAGCTTCTGTCTGTGCTGCTGGCACTGTCGCCCCGCCATGTTCGCGATGGGAGCTACCACGACGTGATCTCTCAGCCTGGGATTCTCTACGTGAGGCAAAATTAAGTTTGTTTCATGACATGTTGTGCAGCCCGGTGACAGCATTGGTCAGATCGTGTTGTGGTGTCTCGCTCTGAGGGCCTCACCTTCCGTGTCTCCTGCTCCTCCTGCAGCATCAGGACCATGTGTCCTGTGTGTTCACCTGCGATGGTGCAATTTGAGCAGACCAGTCTGCTGTCTACTGTGCAGTAGAATTCCAGCTCCTTTCTGTGCGTCTGGCACTGTCGCTCCGCCAGGTTCGCGATGGGAGCCACCAGGACGTGGTTACTCAGCCTGGGATTGTCCACGTGAGGCCTCAAGTGCGTCGCACAGAAGGATATACCACATCTCAGGCAGGTATTCACTGCAGGGGTCTGGCCGCCACGGCAGTTGTCGCACACGACGGCCGTGGCCATCCCGTCTCCAACTCTGAGCCGCTCCGCCAAGTTGGCGAGGGCCACGTTCCTCTTCAGCTGGGGTCGCACAGGGAAGGTTGCTCGGCACTGCGGGCAGCTGAAGCCGCTCGCCGTCTCCCAGGCGGCCTCCAGGCACCGCAGGCAGAACGCGTGGCTGCAGTTCAGCGTGGAGGGGCAGACGAACGTGCCCAGGCAGATGGAGCAGCGCAGCTCACTATCCACACTCTCACTGGGAGTCGCGCTTGTCGTGACCCATGGGCTTCGCTGGGATCGCTCGCTGTGTGGCTCAGAGAGACGCTGAACCAGGATGTCTCTCTTAAATCATCATTGACATCACGAGATACTGCCTGAAATGTAAAGCCACGCCCCTAGGTGTGCAAACAGCAGCCTTAAGGTGAACACGGCTACATATACACACCTTTAAATGCATTTTTTTATCGAAGGAAACTACTCTTTAAAAATATATATACATTTAAATGAATGAGCGTTGTTAATGTAAATCAGTGAGGCTGAGCCACGGTGGCTCATTTACGAGATGAGTATCGAGAGATAAACTCATCCTTCCACAGCTCAGCACACAAGTTGGTGTCTATGGTAAGGCAGAGCAATGCATTAGGTGCCACGTTGGCAAGATGTTACCTGCCTCGCCCGGTATACAGGAGGTCTTGGGTTTGATTCTGAGCCTGACACCTGCTGTATATTTGTAGTTTGCATCTTTCTCTCTCTCTCCATGATTTTCTGAATTATTCTCCGGTTCGTCCGGTTTTCCCCTAAAACATTTAGAATGAACATCACACATTTCAAAAATGTGGCTGCAATATATAAGTTACTTTTCAAGGGCGGACATCAAAGCAATCCACAATTACACAAAGACAAAGACCCCCCGTGTAGCCTTTACGGACTGTTGGGGCAAGTGCTGTTAACGAGTACCTATGAAGGGGGTGGAAAGCCAGCACCACGCCCGGCCGCCTTTGTCTCTCTAGTGGTGATGTTTTGACGCGCCATACCAAGTAGTCATTTGAGGCTGAGTCGACCAAGGGGAGGCCCAGGACCGGTTCAGATCATCGTCACTGGTGTTGGCTGCGAGCGGGAATTAAACCGCGACAATTCTACACCAACTTCACACTCACTCGCCCATGCACTCGCCGACTTACCCACTAATACACAAACTCTCTCATCCACTGCCCCACTCTCCCACACACCCTTCAGAATCATAAGAATCAGAAGTTTACTTCGCTGACGACAGCCCACCGAGCTACGAAGCTCTGTTTAAAGGACGACCCAGCCGGCAGATGTGGCCAAGTTGTATCGTTGGTGGCCCTCTCCAACTCTCTGCCCGCCACGAGAGACTCGGGCAACCAAATAACAAGAAGAGACATTTTTTTTGAATTCTGTAAAAAAAAACCCTCAATATTTCAAGAGCAAAACACTCAATACTCCAGCAAAACATTTTTTCTGTGGTGTTCACACCTGATGATGATTGCTGGTGTTGCAATCGAAACGTGATTTAATTTTCGATTTAAAGCTTTCGTGACTGCAGGGATTCATCTTCTTGGTTCTTTCGGTAAAGTCACGTAGAAGGGAAGTAATAAAATAATAGAAATAAAACATAATAAAACAATTCTCACGACGTTTCGGCCACAACGCAAGCAGCCGAAACGTCGTGAGAATTGTTTTATTATGTTTTATTTCTATTATTTTATTACTTCCCTTCTACGTGACTTTACCGAAAGAACCAAGAAGGTGATTTAATTTATTTAATTTACCGAAAGAACCAAAGAGTATGGATCCCTGCAGTCACGAAAACTTCAACTCTAGATTGATTTCAAGAGCCGCCACAATGCATGTGAATATGAGACGTGTATGTGTATGTACGTGTGTTGAACTTCTTTCACATCGTACGTAGCCAATCGTGCTCATCGGAGGCGTGGGGGAAGGGTAACAATCTAAACACAAAAAGAAGCGGTTCTAAAGAAATGAACTTGTCACTTTAGATTATTTGAAAGTGCAAAGCTCCAGTGCCTTAAAGACTGAACCGGATGCGTTGTGCATGGCTTGTATGAGTGGCAGAACCGGCGAGACCTGTGTTTTTCTGTACGTGGGGGTGTTTTTTTTTTATGCCACGCGTCAATCGGCGCCCTGGACACCCTCTCCTGCTAACGAGAGGTTCCAGTCTCGGGAGGACATTTCCCAGGTGAAACACTTGAATATAATAAGCTGAGAATGTCTGTGTGTCCCACGCGTGACGTCACTCCACATGAGCCCCCCCCCCGCATGAATAATCATGAGCAGGTGACGTCACTCCACAGGGGCAACCTTCCACCCCCCCCCCCCTCATTAATAATCATGAGCTGAACAATTTTTCTATTGAATATTTCAGATTGACTGCAATATTCACCCGTCATTGGACGGGCAAACAAGCTGGTACTTGAATATTTGTATCACCCTGAAATGCTTTGAAAACGGCGGTCGTACATCTCGCGGTGAACTCGCATCGGGACCAAAAACACCAAGTCGGCTCGGCTTGTGCCAAATCAAATTACATCCGTTAAGGAGGAGAGGATTACGCGATGGGAGCAAATGCAGTTCCAACAAAGAGAACTCGCCCAACCACTCGCATCCCAATTTTATTGTTTTTCAACGGTTTAGCTATTTATCATTCATTTGATTTACGAAGAGTGTATTTTTCACGCCACATATTGATTCCGTATGGTTGCACTTTATTAAATCATTTATATTAAGTTCGCTTGCTTGCTTGCTTGCGTGCTTGCTTGCTTGCGTGCTTGCTTGCTTGCTTACGACCGTGCAAATATTTCGGTCGTTTTTTAACCCACTTCCCGTGATCCAATCGAGTTGACATTTTCCACACAGACTCGTTGTGCGTGACAATTAATGTTCGTGAAAATTTTTTTCCAAAATTTTACACTTTTTAGGACAAAAATATTATATTTAATTACCAATTGCTTAATGGTGCCATGCAATCATCTGACCCATAGGTGGCAGCCATCTCAAGCCAGAGGACGAGAGGACTCTAGCCGCCACGCATATAAAGGATTTATAGTGAAAAACTTTGTTTTTACGGGTTATACTTGTTTTTCCCTTTCAGTGTTATCCGCTGTGGTCGTGACGGGTTTTAGTTTTTTTCTTCCATTCTTGTTGTTCTATGGCCCCCGCCGGTATCGTCTCCGTCCTGCTTTAACGTGTCACGATGCCTACTTTGGCGAGGGCGATTTTTACACATAGAATAACGATCGATTGACCTACCGCGGTGTTTGTGCAGCGAGGAGGTGGCCTTGCGGCAGTGCCTGCCATTTCGTTTCAGAGGTTCCACGACCGCGGGTGCTACTTATCGTCACTGCTCGGTCTACTGCACGGTCGACGTTCACCATCCTCGGACATCACTCGCAAGGGTGGGCCCCGCTGTGCACGAGTGTCGTTTTCGAAATGACAAAAATGACACCGCGAATTTTTGTCCTATTTTATGAAATAAATCAGGCGCCTGATGACCACCGCTTGCGTTGCGATCGAAACGTCGTGAGTTTTTATTTTTTTATTTTCTATCTACGTGACCTTACCGAAAGAACCAAAGAACGTTGAATACCAAATTCACGTACCCACCTGGTGACGATCCGAAAGAAGCCAAGGGGGTTACCGAGGCAGAGTTGATGAAGGGAGGACTTCCAAGCGATATTTTAGGCAGAGGACAGGTGAAGTTGCCCGAATATTATCACGGGACCTCCTTTTCCAGTACCAAAATATGAGATTTTAAAACACCAAACTGAAACCTTTTACAAGGAATCGTGTCTGCATTAACCACATATACTAGTGGTCAGAATGCAAACAAAAACACTCTGATAGTATATGCATTGTCTTTGAAACTGATTGATCCACACCAGTAACAGCTTTCTTTTGAGCCTCGTCTCAAACGGTGTTAGACCAGAGTATGTTTTTGTTTGCATTCTGACCACAAGTATTTGTGGTTAATGCAGACATGATTCCTTGTAAAAGGTTTCAGTTTGGTGTTTTAACACCTAAACACAGCAGTTTTTTTTGCCAGAAAAAAGGGAAAACCTATTCTCAATATTTTTTAACCAATTGTCAATTTTGTGAGTTGTCCTAACTCGCCAGTAACTGCAAGTGAAAAGAATAAATATAAAGGGTTAGGCGTTGTTTGCGTTTTAAAAAGCGGAAGTTTCGTCATGCGAGTGTCAAAACGAAACTCAAAACAAGGTGACTTGTTTTCTTCTGCTATTTATATTTTTTTCCTGCTGTAAATGATGTTGTGTACATTATAGGGACAACAATAATTTACACTTTTGAAGTTGTGAATTGCATCCGTAGGGTCCCGCCACCAATGCGCTCCGCGTATGTAAAGCAGCAAATAGACGGAGCCTGCAGCGTAGACGGTCAGGGCTTGGCAGGGAGTGATAAAGGGTGATTTAGCCACTAAGCTAATCACGTACTCACTCACCCACCCATTCGTAAACCTACATACCCACCTACCCACCCACCCACTTACTCACCAACTTACTCACTCACTCACCCACTCAAGCACTCACTCAGCTACTCACTCATCCACACATTTACCCACCTCACTCACAAATGTCATTCCGACCATGAGAAGTTGCCCAACACTTGCACCCATTAAAAAAAACGGTTTCTCTACTTATCGATTTCATTTAAAAAAATTGTTAACACCATATATTCGTTGCACGCAGTTGCACTTTATTCGGCTCAGTCTTTGTTTGCTACCAAGGTCTTCACGCCAAGGTGGCTGGCAGATGTTAATTACTTCACCTGCTATGCGGGTGTTCAAGGGTTAAATCCCAACGGCTGTTGTATATTTGGAGTGCACGTGTCTCCCTGTGGTCGCGCGGATTTGTCTCCGGGCGCTCCGATGTTTTCCTCATTCAGAATCAACATTGTGTTTCAGAGTATTTGGCCGCTATAAATGTCCACAAGCCACTTGGCAGAGCTATTGTTTGCGATTGCCAAGTCGCTGAAAGAGAGCTAAACAGCTCAGTGGGCCTTACCTTGTCAACTAAAAGTAAAACATTTTCATTGTTCTATGCTCCGGTACCATTTTGTATTCTGTAGGAATGTGCACAGATGCCGACTTGGAGGGCGATTTTGGGCACGTTTTGCAGCATGATGGTGTAATAAAGGACTCTTGCACCGTGTCTGTCTCCGTTGTCCTTTATTTGGTTCGTACAACCTTGCCCGCACGGCATCCTCGCTCAGTGTCTCCTCTGTCTCCCGCTTGGCAGCCACACCGCTGCCGTTGCTCCTGCAGCCCCGTTGCTGCTCCACCATGCAGTCCCACTGCTGCCCGATCTGCAGCCCCACTGCTGCCCGGACACTGCTGGCCGACGGTGCCGAGTCTCCAACTCGTGGCGATCGCGCCACTTTCCTCCTCCTGCCCCGCGTGGCCTTCCCCTGTCTTTACTCTGACTCTCTCCCCGAACCCTTCCGGTTCCTGTCCCTAAATCCTCTCCCCCACGTGACCCTAACTCCTCCCACTTGTTACGTCACATCCAGCGAGCCCGTTTACGCTCGCATTACAATGGCATAGTGGCAGCAGCGTTCGCAAACTTGTCTCATGAAGTTCGCGGGTTTTGGCGAGCGACCGCTTGGGGACACGGGTGCCCCTACGACCTTAGAAATCGTACTCAGCTTTGAGATCGGGCGATTGGAGCTTGCGGGGCGGGGTGTCGTGTCACCATGGCTTCAGCAAAACTTATTTTTCCCTCTCAGCAGCGGCGTTATGTGTGCCCATTTTGAACCGGTCCAGGAAACAAACACTGACATGAAAACAAAGATTTGCCGGGTGGACAAATTGACGGCGCAAGCGGACGTCCGGGAGCGATTTGCCAATCGGCACAGGACCACGCCCCTGACTCGTCCCCCCATTGGCTGTGGCTAAAGCCAGCAGAACCAATCCTCTACTTACAGATGTCACCTTCCCATTACGTCAGGGCCACGCCCCTAGACTTCTCCCCATTGGATATGGGCCAGGACCGGCAGAGCCAATCATCGTACGAGGTGTAATCCAACAGCAACCCGGATATGTCCTCACATTACACAGGGAAAGGCTCTGACTCCCGGCCACGTAGTTTTACCCGGGCCCGCTCACCATCATGAAGGTCCTTAATGATCGTGAGCAGAGGGTCAGGGACTCCGAAAGCACGAAGAACAACCCAGAGCCCAGGCCTACTGATGGTATCATAGGCCTTGACCAGGTCAATAAAGCAGAGATCTAGGTCTTGTTGAAATTCCCTACACCTCTGCTGTAGCAGACGGACAGAAAATATGGCATCTGTGCAGGACCGCCCTTTCCTGAAACCACATTGGGGCTCCGCAAGCCTCTCCTCAGCGTGCCTAGCAAGGCGATGTTAAATAATCCTTGCCAGGGCCTTTCCCGGCACACTGAGGAGTGAGATGCCCCTGCAGTTGTTACAGTCTGTGCGGTCCCCCTTCTTAAAGAGGGGGACCACCAGGGCATCCTTCCAATCCTGCGGAACCCGTCCAGTGGTCCAGACTGTTGTTTTGATGTCATATAGGGCAGTCTGTGCACAAATGCCACCCTCCCTCAGCATTTCGCTTGGGAGATCATCTCTGCCTGGTGCCTTTCCTGGTCTCAGACTCCGGATCGCCTTCAGTACTTCCTCAACAAATGGCACCTCAGCCAGCCACTCACAAGGGGTGACTTCTTCCAATATTTGAGGCACCGCAGCCTCAGCAGGGTTATCCCCACTTTGTGCTATGATGTTTTCCTGGCTGAGGGATTTCCCCTCCCCCAGGACCTCACAGAAATGCTCAGCAAATCTACAAACCTGTTCCGAGGGGTCTGGAGATTGGATCACCCTTTTTTTCCCAATGATGGTAATAGGTGTGGCGCTGCAGGTTACTTTTTTGATGGAGTTAAATAGTGATTTGTGATCGCGGGCCACTGAGGCAGACTCCATCTCCTCAGCAACCCGCGACCACCACCCATCCTTGCAGCGCCTTACGGCTCTCCGAACCTCCGAGCGAAGGCTGCGGTAAACCTCCTCATTCTCTGACGTGGGATGCTGTAGCTGATGACAGTGGGCCTGTCGCTTTTTCTCAACTAACCTGAACACCTCCTCTGTCAGCCAGGGTTTCTGGGGAGGTCTGGACCGCGTACCCAAAGCAGCCATTGCAGCTGCATGAATCACAGTCCTAAACCTCGCCCATTTACCCTCGACATCAGGAGGAGTGGGGGACGATGCCAACCCCAGCTGCAAGCGATGATGAAATTCTTGCTTGCAACTTTCATCAGCTAGCTGAGACCAGGCCACTTTAGGTTGGAATGGGGTCCTGGGTGTATACCCACCACCGGAATGGAAGAATGGCAGGCGCATCTTACAGATGACGGGACACAGATACACACTGACACACATACACATATGTTAATTGAATGCCCATGTATGGATGGGTTGGATGTGGCTGCGCTGGAACGAAATGAATCCACGACTGGAAGGGGAATCGCGGTGTCTCTTATATCTGTTGACGGGCCCAAGGTAGATGCCTCAGATTTTTATTGAAAAAAAATACATCGTGACATCACAGTAAAGTTTATCAATGTCTGGTCAGGACCAAACAGTGTGGGGGAATAGGTTTGCGTTGTGCCGGATGAGTGCGGCATCTATGGCAGTCCAGTAACACCTTCATACATGTCGCCCACGTTTTCATTGGTCCGTGTGAAGTGACACCGACGACTGGGAACTCGGAGCCTCTTTATTGAAGACACAGAGCGACCTGCACTCGGCCCAGCACTTGGTTCTTCACTCCGTATAGTCGACCCTTCCCTCGAGCGTCCACCCTCTACACTCCTCGTGCTCTACCCCCTTTCATGCTCATCGGAGCCCCCTTTAAATAACTTTCCATCGCCTCCAGGCATCAACTCCTTTTACAGAATTTTATTTTTGGTTCAAATCTTTTCCTTGCGGTCGGTTCAACCCCCCTCCGCCTCCCAGACCCATCATTGATGAGTCCTATCTTCGCCAACCAGAGGTCCCTGGCCTACTTTTTGAAAGTCCACTCTGCTGCACATTGGCCTGCGGTGAGTGTCTCTCAAGTTCAGTCGTTTGCAACTGGGCGAGCTCAAGTGAGGGAGCTCCTGGACCATAATTTGGGGCTCGCCAGATTTGTGCCCAGCTCTGCCGAGCGATGTCATGCCGCACGAAACCCATTCCAGAGTTTTCTGGTTACTGGTCTGGTACGAACCCCCTCCCCCCTTCTCCCTGGAGCCGAGAGGCTTCTGACAGTCTGCAGATGTCCCTGGGTGCTTCCTGCCAACCAAATGTGGGGTGGGGAATCACTGAATGAAGTTCAATATCAGATTGGACACTGGCAATAATAGCGACCTGCACTCGGCCCGGACAAGGTTTTTCACTCCATGGCTTACCCCTTCCCTCAAGCGTCCCCCACGTGCTCTACCCCATTTCATGCTCGGAGCCACCTTTAAAAAACTTTCCGTCGCCTCCCGGCTCAACTCCGTTTCCCGATTTTTCTTTTCAGTTCAAATCTTTTCCTTACGATCGGATCAAACCCCTCCACCTCCCGGACCCATCATCGACGAGCAATATTTTCGTAAACCGGAGGCCCCTGTCCTACTTTTTAAAGTCTAATCGGCTGCCCATTGGCCTGGGGTGAGTTCCTCTATCGGTTGTTATTTTGTTAATTATTGTTGAACACCCCCACTGTGCCCAAGAGGACGATCACGGTCAGGAAGAACCGAGGCAGTGCGCGCGGGTTACAAACGCATAAAAACTACATTATACATAGTGGCTTAACATCGCAGTATGATATACTACATGAGCAGATTAATATAAAAAAAATATGTAAAAAACTTACTTCAATACCGTTGTTTTGTAAGCTCTGCGAACTACGAAATGTAATACAAATCTGCTCAACTGATCAGCTGGCCGTCTGTTTTGTTGTACAGTACTTCATGGTGCACAATAATTTTGCCCTTAATCATGGACCCAAGCATGCAGCGAGTGGTGAGAGTGAGTTGCTTCTGTGGTCTGGAGGAAGAGAGAATGGCTGGGCTGAGCCCCTCCTCATTCTAACCAGCCCTTCCCCATCATCTCATTGTCATCGTCATCATAATCGTTAATACTTTTTAATTCTAATAATCTTTAATGTTAAAGGTAAGTAAAGTTAATGCTATGTTTATTTATATTTTATTCATAATGGAACACTGTAGTTTAGTTAGAAAATAATAGATTACGACGTTTCGATCACAACACAAGCGATCGAAACGTCGAAGCAGTTTTGCTGTATCCGTCTCACCTGATGACGATTGCTTGTGTTGCGATCGAAACGTCGTAATCTCTAATTTTCTACCTACGTGACTTTACCGAAAGAACCAAATAGTATGGATTCCTGCAGTCACGAAACCTTCAAATCAACATAGTTTAGTTAATTAACAGGCACCTTAGTTAAGCTATGAGGAATATTACCACGGCCGTGGTTCCCCTACCCCCCTACTACCCATAGGCCCCCTGTAACTTTACCAACCACGAGGGTTTTTCAGGAACCTGAACCCTCGCGGTTGGCCAGCGAATTACTCTACATACATAGAGGGGTCGCATGGGCGACCGCTCTGATAGGAACCTCTCATCTCTAACGATGAGCGTCTGTGTACGGCAAGGGGCATATTGAGAGACTTTTACGCAGCACGGCCATTGCAGGGTACAGCTCTCGATCAAATTTTCCGTGAAATCGATGCAGCAGCGACATGGAGTCGGCGCTGTAGAATGACAGGACGCCCGCCTCCCAGTCCAGGTGAACCCCGACTCTTTGGGGAGCATCTCGCACTGACAGGTTTGTTTCCGTCTCGTTATGTAGCGCCGTGTAGGCGTTGTCCCTTTTCTTAAGGCTCCAGGAAACTTCATTGCACCCAATTTTACAGGCTTTGTCATCACCTTTCCGCGGTATCACGTCATAGGTGACACCGATGTTGAATTTATCAGAACCTCTCACGTTCACCTCCCAGTAGTGGCGACCCGACGAAAATTTCTCTGAGCAAATGACCACTCGGTAGTGGTCGAACCTGCCTAAGTTGTCAGGGTAAGGTTGGGTGTGTGTGGAGGTCCTGACGGTTTTAAAGTCGGCAGATATCTTGAGGTTCCGATGTGCCGTGTTTGGGTTCAGAGTCGGCGAGCAAGTGCCTGTAAACGATAATAATGCAAATATTGTGTTAAGCGAACATTGATTACTTTTGAGAAACACACTTTGCAATTTGCAAAAAATGTCGGTAAGAAGTATAAACATTAGCGTGCCGGGCTGCACTTAACACAGCTGATGTAGTCTTTATCAGGGGTTCCTACATTCCTGTCCTAGGTTCCTGCCCTGACTATGGAAGGCAAATCAAATAAAGCCCAATGTATCAACCGACTGACCGAATTTCACTCTCAGTAAACTGTCCACCAAATTCTTAATTTTTTTCGGTAAAGTCACGTAGGTAAAAAAAAAATTATTTCAATTTTTTTACCTACGTGACTTTACCGAAAAAACCTAAGAATATGAATCCTTGCAGTCACGAAAGCTTCAAATCTAGAATTGTCCACCAAATTGTCTGAACGTTAGCAGTGGCGTCGCCTGTAATCCAGCACTTTGGAGGTGAGGGTTGCTGGACCACACAGATTCATAAATCTGCCGACGCAAGGACGACGAAGTCGCCACCTGCTACCATGCCAGGGTACGGCAGTACAGCAACTGGATTCATCTTCATCCGGAATCCATTAATACGGGGATGTCGCGTTACCTGGTTCATATTTACTGTTTGGTGTTAACCCCATGTCCCCACTGGATATCTGTGAAAAAGAGCTTAATTGCTCATCGGATTCCTCATTCTGGATAAAGATTGATACTCGTGGGTTTTTTTCCATGTTTACTGCCACAATGCATGAACGCATTTTGCTTAACGTGACGCTTTTAAGCAACGCATCTACCACACTAAACGATTACTCATTGCACCGTATTAAGGGTTCACATCTCATATGGATATCTTTCTTTATCATCCATCAGCATTCGGGATGAGTGACACAGATGATGCATTAATACACTCAGCAATGCACGTTGTGTGGCGTGTACAGCATATCACGTACTCGACTCGCTCCTCATTTTCAGGAATGACTCTTGCTTTTCACGATGTTCACTCAAAATCTCTTGGAGTTGCGGGCTCTCTTCCTGTTTGCGATCGAGGCAGTTTATGATGAAGTCAGCTCGTTCTGACGCACAGGGCATCGAATAGACTTCTGAGAGCTCGGATTGCGTGATGAGACCCTGGACGAGCAACTCGTGATGTAGCATTGCAGGGATCCTACCGATCAAATCTTGTACCACCGGAGGTTTCTCCGTCCTCGTTCTGAGAAGTGTAACTTCACAGTCAGCTTTCTCTGCATTTGTGTTTTTTGTGCGATGAACTCCACTGTTTGCAAAGTGATCACAAATCTGAATGTCTTCTCTGTTCTCATCCACAGTCAGGTTCTTGAATGATTGAGCTGTTAAGATATTTGTAAGAATATACAAAACACATTTGAGTTCTAACTTGGCAATTGTTTAATGCCTTCGTCACGATTATTATTATTATCATCATCATACGTTGTTGGGAGGTCTCCCCAAGCCACTATCATTTTTTATGGCCCTACACTGACAATCAACTTCACTCTCACAAAATATGTCTGCAAGTTAACTGATATTACTCCATCTCCGTCTCTGTCACCGACAACCAACAATGTGCAAACAACCACTTAATGCTTTGTACATTCTCTTCATATCTCACATTATATTTTAGAACAGCCACCTCCTCCATCACTTCTTGTAAATTTTAGGCTTTTTTTTTCTTTATTTCCACTTTCATCTTTTGGCATCTGTTCTTCCGATTTTAGAATTTTATTGAAAGAGAAAATATACTAAATTTCAGACAATTGTAAATTGTTATCGTTGATTGTTTGTTTGTCATCTGCCTTGTTCGCTTGCCGGGCGGTGACACGAACACTGCCGCAGTGTTTCAGGAACCACCGCTGTGTTTGCGTTCTGCAGAAACACAGAGCTCGGAGATACCCTCGCTCCCAGCTCCACGATCTACCGCTGTGACCTCGCGTCTAGACTCCCTCACATTCACTACCCCCGCCACACAGCCATAGCAGATGAAGTTGCACCAAATAACCTCCACGACCGACCCATAGGATGTGGGTGGGCACTCAGCCAGCAGTGGATTGACAAAGGGGGTGTTCACGTGCTCTAATGCTGTGGCTACATCGCCTGCATGTGTAACGGTTTCCGGAGACACTTATAGAGGTAACTTCTTTATTACAAACCAACAGTCCAACAGTCCAACTACTCTGTAACAACTCCCAGGTACACAGCCAAAGTACACAGCCTAGATACTCTACTCTGGCTACGCTCTGGAACTCGCCCTCACAAGGACGTAGAGTCGGGAGTTCCAGAGTCCCACCACTGGCTCTCACAGCGTCCCAGAGTCCTCCGATGGCTGGTCTTGGGTCTTGGGTCTTGAGCTACGACTGGCCCTGATCGTCCAGGGAGCTCCCCTTTTATGCCCAGTCCCCAACGAGGGGTGGGGCCGTGTGCGCCCCCAGATCTCCCACAGAGCACACACAGCCCCCCCCGTTGGTGGCGCCAAGCGGCTTAAGCGTCTGGCCCGCCCAGGGTCCCAGAGCCCCCAGCAGCCCCTCCCTTCTTATGTCACTACACATGCACACTCGGTGGCGACGATTCTGAATCGATTTTCTATTCTGGATATGATTACACTCCAAGTCAGTGCCAAGGATGCCCTATACGTGACACGCACTTGTACTCACCTTCGTAAATCGCGACTGAGCCCGAGTTCACCTGGAAAGCCGGAAAAAGTGGCTCATTTGGAATGTCGTCGACTGAGTGCAAGAGCTCCATGGTGATGGCGTTGTAAAACGAAAGCTTTCCTGCGTTGAAGTCCAAGCGAATGCCGACTCTCTGTAAATGCTGAATCTCCGGATAAGGAATGCATTGGTCGCCATGTCTTGCAGAATAATTTGAATCCCATTGAACGAACGCCCAAGACAGCTCATCCCAGCCGAGCCTGCCAGACTTTTCTTGACAATTCCTATGAATTGACCCACGTGCAACGCCTATAGAACAGTTTTTAGAAGCTCTCACGTCCACTTCCCAGTAGTGGTCACCCGACGAGAAGGTCTCGAAGCAGAGGACTATTGGCCACCACTTAAACCTCTCTGCGTGATCAGAGTAAGGCTGCTCTTCCTTGTTACATGTCACTGTGCTGAGATCGGCAGAAATTTGAAGCTGTCGATGTGCCGAGTTGGGGTTCAGCGTGGGCGAGCACATATCTGCAAAATAGGCAAATCATCGTGTAAATATTTACAATCACGACTCAGTTTTTTGCTCATTATCATCAGCCATAATATAGTCGTTGCCATGAGAGGCAAAGTTGCACCTGGACATTTCTTGCCCATGCCACTGCTGGTGGAAGGATCTCGACTAGAAGCAGCTTCAGAGCCGCCTCTTGAGGGTATTTGGCCCTCCATTCCAAGCTGGTTACATCTGCCACAGTGGCCAGGAGATGTTAACTACCTCGCCTGGTATGCATGAGATCGTGCGTTCAATCTCGACCCTGACTCCTATTTTATATTTTGAGTCTTCGTCTTTCTTTCTCTCCCCAGTGATGATCGCATGGATTTTTCTCCGGGTCGTCCGGGTTTTTTTCTACACATTTAGAATCAATATTATGAGGTTAGAACATTAGCCTGCTATAAATTTCCACATGATAATGATGGATAATCCACATCGTTGAGCTATCATTTGTGATTGCCAGGTCGCTTCTGAAAAAGAACTACTATATAGCAGCTCAGTGGGGCCTTACCCAGAAAAATGTAATTAGTTTTGTTCAAAAAACATTAGTTTAGTTTACTCTACTACGAGTGACCACTCATTGTGCTGTAGCCAGCGGTATTGCCTTGTCGTGTACCAAACCTTTACAACGCGGCAGCATTGGAGCATGTGGAACCGTGCCGTGATACTCAAACATTGATTATCGAGGCTCCCTGGAATGCAAGTGGACAACTTAGGAATACTCTTTGGTTCTTTCCGTAAGGAATACTACGCTTACATTTTCCAAAATTCGTTTAAAATATTGCTTTGCCTTAAGCTACATCGAACTGCGGATATATGTTAATATACGCATGGAGCTACTGCCGGTGATTAAATCAGCTCAGCGTGCGAGTGCTAAGTGGATCGTTGCATAGCAGGGTCGTGGGAGGTAAGGGAGGCTTGGGGAAGCCTTCATCCAGCAGTGGATTAACCTTAGCTGATGATAATGTAAAGCGGATGAGTATGATATGTATCCAGTGTCCACTGAGATCGGCCTCAAATAGCTACAACTTATTTTGGCCACTCCACCACTGCCCCTCCTGTGAAGGATTTCCCGCTTAAGTGAGACGCTGGGACTGTGGGGCTACGATGCTGAGAATTAGTGGACTCATTTCTCTTTTTTTGTCGTTGTCGTTTGTCTCTTTATATTTGGTGACATTTACGCATTTGATTAGAATTATTATTTTACTTTCTGCGGGTGTTCAAATGCTCGGTAATTGCAAAAAATATAATAGGATCTGTACAACGCCGTGGAATATATTGAATAAAATTATTATTACGAAGTGCTCCGGCCTGAAAAAAGTAAAAAAAGGATACTTTTAATGGATTGCAACGCTGACGAGTGTATAAAGAGTACGCACGGCTCTTATTCATCATGTCCAGAAAATGCCGTTCCCTGCTCCGCTGTTGTTCGAGTATCTCCAGCAGCTCTCGGCATTCGCCTTCCCCTTGTCTCATGACGGGCAACAGGATTGAGTCCGCACGCTTGGCAGCATCGGGAATTGTAAACGCCCTCCAGTACGCCTCTTCCGTAACCACGTTCCTCCTCTTCAACTCGTGCAGGAAAAGGGAGGGAGTTTTTCCGATCCACTCTCGCAACTCTGGCAACTCTCTCTCGACGTCCTTCCAATTGCTCTCTTGATCTGACGTGATCATTTTACTGATGAAATCCTCTGCGCTCTGCCAGAGTAAAAACACGACAAGTGAGTGAGCAGCAATCGCCAGATCATCATCACGCACAACACAGCTGACCAATAGGGAGCCATCCCTCGACCGCACCAATGCATCGATCAGCCTCCCATTTTACCTATACCAGGTGTGAATTCCTCCGGTACAGCCATGCAATGCCCAGATACGGATAATCTCTCTACACTCTCCACAACTGATCTCCCCGTGGAATGCTGGTTACTTCCTCAGACCCCACCCCCATATATATTTTTTTTATATAAAACCTACAACTCTACACCACCGTCAGAAAACACCTTCAAGGGTGGACACCGCATATTCCTTCCCCGCAGCTAGACAACACTTCAAGCACCTCAAGTCCCCTTCCTCCCCTCCCCCACGGTCTTTCTGTACCCCCCGCCACCTTCCTCCAGAAATCCATGGACCCGTTGTGTTGGGGCTTGCGTGCTTACCATTACGTGGAATGACTTACATTCATTTAATCATGGCCGGAGAAATTACTGCGCAGTGAAATATTTCTCAACCCCTGCAAACATATGAAGAGGGGGCGCTTCATAATGAACATGCATTCAACAAGTAGTAGCAACCGTGTCTTGCTCGTCGGCAATATCACGTGAACATTTATTCCGATCAGAGCCGCTCACCCGACTTCTCACTCAATAAAAATACTCAATTGATTCCCCGGTCTCCCGTATCAACACATCAACTTTCATAAATAACGTAACAAACAATTACAGCCACTTATTTCTCTCTCTCTGTCCTCCTCCATTCTCGAGCCTTGTGTAGTGGATTCAACTGAGTTGCAGACATACTCTTTGGAGGCAACACATTTATTGATACCAACACAAAGGGGTAACTGCCCCTTTACCAGATAACAACCTATGGTGGTGGACCACCAGGCTAGCTACACTAATCACACTGGGAGTACCTACAATGGACAGGACCCCGGCTTGGGTCCAGGTCCACATGTTGGTGACTCTTCTCGGACATAGAACGTAGATTTTCAGGATAACAACAGAAACGCTGAACCCTGGTCACTCTGGAGACCCAGCGGAAATCCTCACTGATCGTGGCTGGCTCCGCCCTTGGCCACGACCACTTTCTGGAATGTTCTAGCAGGATCTCGCCCCAACACGTGACCACTCCCAACTCCCCAATTGGGGGCCTATGTGTAGACTTTACCAGTCACGTGTCCTCTGGGGTCAACCAGAGTGCCATGACCGAAAGTAACCCCATTCCATGGCTGACACTCTCACACCCCATCCAGTAGGGGTCAGCACTGCACGCCGAGCGTGGTGCCACTCAGCGCCATGACTCAGTGCTCAACGAGCCCAAATAGGGCCGGTACTACACACACATATACGTGGTGTCCGCGATGTGAGTACATCGCACGCCGTGCCATCCACGATGTCACTACACATGTAACCCTCCTTGTCCTCCTCGCTCACCTGTCTCGTCCACGCCCACCCCACACTTCCGGCCTGCTCCCACCCCCAGACCGTAACGGTCTCCATTGGTACCCTGCCTCGTCTCTTCCCCCCCCACCCCTCAACCACTCGGTCATTGTTGCGTGATATATGAACTTCATGGCGGGACCCCGGGGTTCCATAAGCCCTCGGCTCTCGCATGAACTGCGTTGCGATGTCATTTTATGTCTGTTAAAGGCGAACAATACGGTAATCGATTCCTCCTCTCGATGAGCTCTACACGATGTGCTTATCAAAGTTTAAAAGTTTTGTTTATGACTACGGCTATTTGGCAACGACGGGTGTTTGGTGAAGAATGAGATGATAGATTTCTGGTGGGTTGCGGCGTTTATGTGTGCGGTGGGACGGAGTCGCCAAAAACAAATTAATAAATTAATTACGATTTTTACTTCCGTGTATTCGGGACCCCGGGGTCCCGCCATGAAGTTCATTTTCTTGAAGGATTCGTTTATTGTTCCAAACGTTTTGGTAATCGTTGATTTTACAATGCTGCTGTGTGTAGTAGCTACCGCACGACGGGCTCTTTTTTTCTACTACCAGCTTCGAGAACCACCGGTGAAATGCACAAAGCGATCAGATGCCAATTGTGCATCTTGCGTCTTGCATGGCATTGCTCCATCATCACTGAACATTATGACGGGAAAGATGCTCACGTAAAGATATGCCGAGTGCTTTGATTATAAACGAAAATACAACCGTACGTTTTGGCTCAACCTTTTTTTAAAGGATATTCTTGATAGGAACAACGAAGGTTAATTGTCCTTTACAAGAAGACAATGATAATACATTCCACGTGTAATGAGTTCACCAGACGAAGGATGAGATGACACAGCTCCTCTTTGTTTTCCGCACGAGCTCACGCCGCGTGCGGACCACTCACCTCCAAATTCCGCCAGGAAGACGCCCCCCCGATCGCCCCGCCTCATCCGGTGACGTCACCACTCCCCTCGTGGGCGTTCCCTCTTATGCCCTGCCCCTTTCCCTTCATCCGTGACGTCATCCGTGACGTCATCTTTAACAGTAACCTGGCATCTCGTGACTATTTCGACCCCTGGATCGTTTGAGTATTAACGCCACACATTTATGAAGTGGTGCATTTCCTCCATAGATCCCAATGCACCACCGTGTATGGAAAACAGGAAATATACAGAACATGCAGGGTGTTTTGGACATAACTGGGTGGGTAAATCCTTATTTACCCACCTCAACCACTCACTCAGCCACTCACTCAATCAACCATTCACTCACTCAACCACTCACTCACACATTCAATCACTCAGCCACTCACTCACCCCCTCAACCACCCCTCAACCACTCACTCAACCACACACACACACAACCACTCACTAGGCCCGATCAGCCAAGGATCAGAGCCTTGACCTCCGAGTCGTTATAAAGATGGCGATCTGAAGATCTGAGGGACCTCGTTGGAAAGTCAACATGGACCGGTTGCCACAGATTTGAATGACGAGTGCTGCCACGCCTGATGATTCACTTACCCGTGCTGACCATCACGATTCAGGACAGGCAAATGACCCTGGTGACTCACGCAGTCTGCTGAGGATCTCATTCAGTAGTGACACCAATAACAGGGGTGTGTTTTGGTCAGGTCACATAGACTTGGCGTGGTGGAATGACTTACAATCACACCCTCTTCAGCCGTATTCAAAGGTATGTTCTGACTTGTACCACGACGCCTCTCTGTATAAGAGATGAATATACATTATTATATAGCTTTGTTTTACATATATATGCTTGCGAATTATACATTACATCATATAGAGCTGTCTTGATGGGCTTATGTTGTTGATGACGATGATTATCATAGTATTATCTTCTAAACTACGCTATACACATACACTATACACGACACGAAAAACTACACTATACAAGAGAGTACAATGTACACTACCCACTTTATTTTTCTTCATCAAAATTCTACACCATAGAGCTCATTGTATTTCCGACCATCACCACCTAGCCAGTGAACTGGAACACGTCCACCAAGCCCCAAGAGGAATGGATATTCAGACTACACAATCCGTAAAGCTATCACCCCAACCCTTGCGAAAGAATCATCTGAGCACCCAATCAAAACCATCACCTTGCCATACATAGCAGGGGTCACCAAAAAGATTTTCAAAATCATGAGCAAACAAAAGACCCAGTTTAGATTTAACACAGTACATAAAATTCGTGATCTGATCCCATCTGTGAAGGATGTGATCCCTGACATGCAATACCCTGGCGTCTACGAACTAAGCTGTATCTGCGGCAGTAGTTACATTAGGGAAACTAAGCAACATATCTCGGACCGTGTTAGTGAACATGAGGCAGATCTAAACACGGTAGGACTAATACCTCAGCCGTGTCTGATTATTGTTTGAATGTGGTGGGCTCACATGAAATTGATTTATCCAAAACGAAGTTACTCTGCAAACCCACTGGCTATCAACAATGATTCGTTCATGAAGCCATCCAGATATATAGGCACAGACACAATTTCAACTGAGAAGATGGGTACAAACTGAGCACTCATTGGAAGGACTTTATTCACCAGTTTAAGTCATAACTGGCTGTGATGTTCCCATCCTACCTTCCATGTTACCAGTTATTTTTGACTCTCTGATTTTAAATTAACAGTTTCACACTAACACAGCCGTCGTTTACATTGACATGCTAATCTCTTACATTGACATGCTAATCTCTCTCACTTTAACATCACTAGCCCCGCCCACTTAGTTTATGACCCTTGGGCTACACCCATTTGAAACCTTTAAAAAAGCCTGCCTCAGCAGCTTTCCCCCTCTTTTTTCTCCTTATGACTATTGCTTGTGTTGCGATCGAAACATCGTGATATTTTTATTCTTATATATTCACTTTGGTATTTTATTTATTTATTTTATTTTATTGTTCTATCTACGTGACTTTACCGAAAGACCCAAAGAATATGAATTCCTGCAGTCACAAAATCTTTAAGTCAAGATTTTTACACTACACTATACACTACACTGTGGTGATGATGAGAGAGAGACATGCAAACTCCTAATATATAGCAGCAGGCATCATCAGGGTTCGGAATCGAACCTGCGACCTCCAGCATACCAGGCGAGGGAGTCAACATGCTCCTAGCCACGGCTACTTACCCCAGGGGAAGTGTCCATGGTGGATTCTGTAGTGAACAATGCCCATGATCGCCACAATTAAACTGAGGAGCACGACAGCACCAATGACAGCACCGAAGATAGGTCCACCAACGTCTGAGGATCGTACACATATAGTAGAGTAGTGTATAGCGTAGTGTATAGTAGTTTAGTATGTAGTGTAGTGTGTAGTAGTGTAGTGTGTGTAGTACTGTATAGTGGAGTGTATTGTAGAGTAGTGGTGTAGTGTATAGTAGTGTATAGTAGTGTTGTGGTGTAGTGTAGAGTCGTGTAGGGTATATTAGTGTAGCATGTCGTGTATAGTAGTGTAGTGTATAGTCGTGTCTTGTATAATGTCGTGTATACAAGTGTTGCGTGTAGTGTACAGTAGAGTAATGTCGAGTATAGGAGTGTATATTGTAGCGTATAGTAGTGTATAGTGTAGTGTGTATAGTAGTGTATTGTGTAGTGTATAGTAATGTAGTGGTGTAGTGTACAGTAGTGTAGTGGTGGTGTATAGTAGTGTATAGTAGTGTAGCATATAGTAGTGTAGCGTGTAGTGTAAAGTATAGTAGTGTATAGTAGTGTAGCGTGTGGTGTACAGTATAGTAGTGTATAGTAGCGTAGCATATACAGGTAGTCCTCTACTTACGATGGAGATGCGTTACGACGACCCCATCGTAATTCAATAATATCTTAAGTCGAAGATGGCTTAGCCTACCCAGGAGTCTTAAATTATGGTGATAATTTAGCAAAACAGGGTAATTTACAGTACCATACTGTATAAACTATATACTGTATGTTTTTATTAATTACAATACTGTATTGCAAAGGAAAACTGTAAAGTAAAAAAACAAGGTAAATTATTTGACTGCCTATAAGAACTGCAATTTAATAAAGTTTTTTCAGGAAACAATCCTATCTGCTATAAAAACTTTTAACATGCATTGAACGTATCGTAACATATCATATTGTACCGTACTCACCAAGATTCTGTCCGTCGTCTGCATACTTGTCGTATCGCTATCGCCATCGTAAGATCGAAATATCGTAAGTCGGACCATCGTAACTCGGGGACTATCTGTAATCTGGCATCGAACCCACATCCTCCTGTGTCCCAGGCGAGGGAGTCAACATCCTCCTAGCCAGCACGACTTACCCCAGGGGAAGCGTTTTTGGATGATTCTGTCGACAAGCAAGCCCATGATGACCACAAGGAGGATGACCACGACTGCAATGTTGACAGAACCGTTGATGGCCCTAGCAACGTCTGAGGATCGTACACATACAGTAGAGTAGTGGTATAGTGTAGTATATAGTGTAACTTACTGTAGTGTAGTTGATTGTAGTATAGCATATAATAGTGTCGTGTATATTAGAGTAGTGTATAGTAGTGTATAAAGTGGTGTATACAAGTATATAGTAGTATATAATATAGTATTGTATAGTGTATAATAGTGTAGCGTATAGTCTAGCTTCAAAGCCACGACCTCCTGCGTACCAAGAGAGAGAGTCAACATTCTCCTAGCCATCACAACTTACCCCAGGGAAAGTGTCCATTGCGGATTCTGTAGAGAAGGAGGCCCACGGTCAACACAAGTAAAATGGCGATCACGATATCGCCAATGACAGCACCGGCGATAGCTCCAGCAATGTCTGAGGATTGTACACATATAGTACAGTAGTGTATAGTGTAGTGTATAGTAGTAGAGTGTATAGTAGTGTCGTATATAGTGTAGTGTATAGTAGTGTTTAGTGTCGTGTCTCGTTTAGTGCAAAGTGTAGTGTATAGTAGTTTGCATATAGTGTAGTGTATAGTAGTGTATCGTGTAGGGTAAAGTAGTATATAATAGTATAGTGTATTTTGTAGTGTATGATAGTGTAGTGTGTCGTGTACAGTAGTATATAGTGTAGTGTATTGTAGAGTAGTGTAAAGTAGTGTGTCGTGTATAGTAGTGTATAGTGTATAGTTGTGTATAGTAGTTTAGTGTATTCTAGTGTTGTGAATAATAGTGTTAGTGTATATTAGTGTAGTTTTATAGTAGTGTAGTTGTATGGCGTAGTGTATAGTTTAGTGTAATAAAATCTAAGTAAGTTGAAACTTAATGTGCCCTGTGCTTAATTTGTGTGCTTCGATGATTCACATAAAAAAAATCTGGGCACATCTTGCCACCCCCTAACCCCCCAGGGGTGCGGAATGCAACCCCAGGCGAAGAATCACCACTCGTGGGGTGAATTTTCATGGTGCAATTGCCATCAGATTCTTTTTTGTGTGGCAAAGAGGTCACCGGAGCCTTTGACACTTCACGTGGTCCTAAGAGTGCACCCAGCCTGGCACAGGCGTCCTGGAGACATCACCTCCACTTAGTGGTGATTGGCTACTGCTGTTGTTGTTCGTCCAAATGGGAGCGATGGCAATGGATTGGGGGTAGGGGTGTGGGTGATAGGCCTTCACACTTAGCACTTGCATAACAAAGATTATTCCATTGCTACATCGCCACGACTGACTTTTGGTCTCTGCCTTCCACTCTTTAGCTGTCACCTCCGTTTATGTTGTGTGCTGGTCTAAAACAGACATACGCCACCGAGGATCAATGCTGTGAGCGCGTTAGAGCCACGTGGAGGCACCGACCGGTCGTCCTCACCTGCTTCTTTCTTCACGTCCGTGCAGGGGTCCGTTGAGGCAGCCCTCTGGAAGCCGTCTTTACAGCGACAGCGAGTGTCCTCCCTGGCGGTGCATCTGCTCTCGGTTTTTTCGACTGCAGAACAACAGCACCACCACTACCATCACCACCGCCTCACGTGGGTAATACATTTGGCGAGCGTCCGTACAGCCACGTACGCGGCCATATGGAATTGAGCGGTCTCTGACGCACAGCGAGTCATCAATTCACGTGCGGATGTGAGGCAGAACGCGTGCCTGCAGTTGTAATCCGGGCAGTGCAGTGACTCAGTTATCTAGGACGAACGCGGTGACACGAGGCGATGCGGTGATTCTGAGTGATGCAGAGCTGAGAGATTCAAACGTAAAAGGGGAGTAACGAGGGTCGACTGTAGGGGGCGACGGTTGACAGCCATTGGAGGAGGAGGACGTGGATTGGCTGAAAGGAGTGGGGTGAGCGAAGCTTCCAAAAAGGGAGATATAAAAGTGTAGTGCATAGTGTTGCGTATAGTAGTGTAGTGTATAGTGTAGTGTATAGTGTAGTGTATAGTGTAGTGTATAGTGTCGTGTATAGTAGTGTAGTGTATAGTAGTGTAGTGTATATTAGTGTAGTGTACAGTATTGTATAGTAGTTAAACTCGTATGCTTTCGCGACCAATATCATCCATAAGAGGTTTTTTGGGTTAGATCGCGTGAACATATATAAATGCGTCGTTAAACCCGTCACCACCCGCCATGGCCAACTAGTAAGGGTTGTCACGTAAACAGAACATGCCAATTTGTCACTAGTACAGCACTAGTGTATAGTTTAGTGTATAGTGTACAGTGTGTGCTGTATTAGTATACTGCACACCGGTGTGTTGGAAAGCCAAGCCACAACATTTACAATCTGAGTACGACGTTCTGCTAGTAATTACAACCAGCTTCATTAGGCGACCAGAATGTTGGAGAAGTCCACCTGTTACGTTCCTTATATAGAGGCGTAGATGAGGTGACCACTTGTGTGCTCTATTTGCGCAAAGTGGGGGGGGAGGGGGGCGGAGGATTAATGAGTCAACATACATTATGCATGTGCATCATGCGAGTTACTTGTCCCTTGTGGTGACTAAAATAGCCATACCAAGAGTAATCCCTATTGAAGTATGGTGGTCTGTATTGACAAGCATTTAAACATTGTATTATTTCATGATTCGCTTCGAATCGGCACCAAGTCGGTAGCTATCTGAACGGTTAAATAGTTTTTACGTCTTTAAAATTCGATGGATTCTCTAATTAGTCTTGGCCAATAGTAAATTGTTTTGCACAGAACTTCAAAATCATCAAAATAAATTGAGTGCCTTTGTTGGCACGCATTTTCTGCTACTGCTTACAATTGTATTTGGGAGTATTTAATCTTTTTTTGGTGTTTTGTAGTGTTCTTTCAGTCTCATTCTTTTAGTGTTGTGCTCCCTAGCCACGCTGATAATGATGAGAGAGACAAAGACTCCAAATATACAGTAGCAGGCACCATCAGGGTCGTGATCGAACCGCGGTGGTGCCCACAGTGGCGAGACTGACTTTGTATCACAAGCGGTGCTTGAATCACGCAAACCACTTGATTCCCCTGAACCCGTCCCCTCCTTATTGTTCCTGGGTTCACTTTGCGTCCACAAACAACCACCCACCCCTCTTACAATTCACGTTGCAAACGGTGCACTTCTTGCACTCCGTGGAGCTGTTCGGTTCATCCATGTAGCCTCGTCCCGCGCGGCAAGCAGTGCAAAACGTGCCACTCGTGTTGGATTCGCAATCCATCACCTTCTTGCTACCTGCAAGGCGGCATCGGGGTGGGGGGGGGGGGGGTAGTGGGGGGGAAACAGACTTACCGAATGAACGAGAATACAAATCAAAAGGTTTTGGTGTTTGTTGTCCTTCCCCGCCTTGCTGTGTTCCAGACTCGCGGACTGTTCCATTTGCGAACGGGTCTCAGGAACGAATTAGGTTTGCAATCCGAGGAATGCCAGTCCACTACTATACATTATACACAACACTATTATGTAATACACTATACACTACACTGTACACTACAGTATTAGTTAGAAAATGTTTTCTTTACAACCGATGCTTGTTGTTGTGTAGTTGTTGTCCCCTCCACCCGCACCTCTGATTAAATACTCGTAGTTCTTTCGGTAAAGTCACGTAGGTAAAAAATGAAATTAAAATTAATAAAAATAAAACAATAAAATCACGACGTTTCGGAGGCAACACAAGTCTCCGTCATCAGGTGGGAACGTCACAGCCAGATTTGCTGCATCAAGTGAGGCAAGGATTCAAGATGCAAGCCCTTAAATACAAGTTGGGGGGAGGAGAGGGGGGGGGGAGCTTATCAGAATGTGGTAGCCAATGAATGGAACGTATCGGGAGGGAGGGGGGCTAAAAGAAGGCACAAAGTGCTACGTAGGCGTCGGCGACGTGGACGTATTTGTGTGCAAGTAACTATTGTTGCACATGCTAACGTATTGGAAGAGGAGGGGGGGGGGGGGGCTAAAAGAGAGTATGGGGTGTAAGTGTACGTGTACATGTATATGTACAAGCACCTGTTGATACACATGATAGAAAAGAACGAAAATGCCCATGTTTATTCCAGTGTTGGCTTTATTGTCAGCTACTATAGATTTCGATTTAAAGCTTTCGTGACTGCAGGGATTCATCTTCTTGGTTCTTTCGGTAAAGTCACGTAGAAGGGAAGTAATAAAATAATAAAAATAAAACATAATAAAACAATTCTCACGACGTTTCGGCCACAACGCAAGCAGCCGTCCTCAGGTGAAAACCAGGTCTGTCGAGGCGACAGAGTCTGAATGAAACAGCACACGACCTTGGAGCATATATATAAGCTGGGCGCATTGACAAAGGAATTTGCACATCAAAAGGAATTTAGCATATTTATGGGAAATGCAGGAATGTGATTAGTACTGCATATGCATGTGCATTATGCAGGATTAACAGCATCAAAGGGAGCTGCAGTTACTGCTGCTGCAGCAGTTGCTGCTGCTGCTGCAGTTTCTGCTGCAGTTGCTGCTGCTGCTGCAGTTGCTGCTGCTGCTGCAGTTGCTGCTGCTGCACTTGCTGCTGCTGCTGCACTTGCTGCTGCTGCTGCAGTTGCTGCCTTATCCATTTTAATATAACACTATGTATTATTCTACCCAGGGTGGGTAGAATAATTGCTGCCTTACCCAGGGTGGGTAGAATAATACATAGTGTTATATTAAAATGGATAAGGCAGCAACTGCAGCAGCAGCAGCAAGTGCAGCAGCAGCAGCAAGTGCAGCAGCAGCAGCAAGTGCAGCAGCAGCAACTGCAGCAGCAGCAGCAACTGCAGCAGAAACTGCAGCAGCAGCAGCAACTGCTGCAGCAGCAGTAACTGCAGCTCCCTTTGATGCTGTTAATCCTGCATAATGCACATGCATATGCAGTACTAATCACATTCCTGCATTTCCCATAAATATGCTAAATTCCTTTTGATATGCAAATTCCTTTGTCAATGCGCCCAGCTTATATATATGCTCCAAGGTCGTGTGCTGTTTCATTCAGACTCTGTCGCCTCGACGGACCTGGTTTTCACCTGAGGACGGCTGCTTGCGTTGTGGCCGAAACGTCGTGAGAATTGTTTTATTATGTTTTATTTTTATTATTTTATTACTTCCCTTCTACGTGACTTTACCGAAAGAACCAAGAAGAGGAGCTACTATAGAGTTAGTAGAGACTACTGTAGTGTCAGAGACTACTGTAGTGTCAGTAGATACTACTGTAGAGTCAGTAGTTACTACTGTAGAGTCAGTAGTTACTACTGTAGAGTCAGTAGATACTACTGTAGAGTCGGTAGATACTACTGTAGTGTCTGTAGATACCAGAGGTGGGACAAAGTCATTGTTATGCAAGTCCAAGTCGAGTCTGAAGTCATCAAATTCATGACTCGAGTCTGACTCGAGTCCAAGTCACATGACTCGAGTCCACACCTCTGGTAGATACTACTGTAGTGTCATCAGATACTACTGTAGAGTCAGTAGATACTACTGTAGAGTCTGTAGATACTACTGTAGAGTCATCAGATACTACTGTAGAGTCAGTAGATACTACTGTAGAATCTGTAGATACTACTGTAGAGTCAGTAGATTATATTGTAGTGTCAGTAGATACTACTGTAGTGTCAGTATTTACTACTGTAGAGTCAGTAGATACTACTGTAGTGTCAGTAGTTACTACTGTAGAGTCAGTAGTTACTACTGTAGAGTCAGTAGATACTACTGTAGAGTCAGTAGATACTACTGTAGTGTCTGTAGATACTACTGTAGTGTCATCAGATACTACTGTAGAGTCAGTAGATACTACTGTAGAGTCTGTAGATACTACTGTAGAGTCATCAGATACTACTGTAGAGTCAGTAGATACTACTGTAGAATATGTAGATACTACTGTAGAGTCAGTAGATTATATTGTAGTGTCAGTAGATACTACTGTAGTGTCAGTATTTACTACTGTAGAGTCAGGAGATACTACTGTAGTGTCAGTAGATACTACTGTAGTGTCAGTATATGCTACTGTAGTGTCAATAAATGCTACTGTAGAGTCACTAGATCTTACTTTAGAGTCAGTAGATACCACTGTAGAGTCGGCAGATACTACTGTAGAGTCAGTAGATACTATTGTTGAGTCAGTAGATACTACTGTAGAGTCTGTAGATACTACTGTAAAGTTGGTAGATACTACTATAGAGTCAGTAGATACTACTATAGAGTCAGTAGATAGTACTATAGAGTCTACTGTAGAGTCTACTGTAGAGACGGTAGATTATAATGTAGAGTCTGTAGATACTACAATAGTCAGTATAAACTACTATAAAGTTAGTAGATACTGCTATAGTCAGTTGACTGGCTCCAACACTGCACTAGTCACTGTTGGCTATGTGCGGTGTGAAAAAAGTTCATCTGACCTCCATTAAAACATTTTGATGGTGGTATTTGTGTCAGGCCTTTCACTCTCTGGGCGTTACCTGCTTGGCAGAGCTCGCAACAGATGCCACGTGTTGACAAGTAGTGCGTTGTTGCATCACATCCGCCTTTGTTAACCTGAGTGAAAAAAAACATTCAAGACGCGGAAAATTTAACAACCAAAGTAATTTATGTTACCAGGTGTAACGAGGCCCCACTGAGCTGCTCTGTGTAGTGGCTGTGTTTTGTTCAGAAGCGACCCTGAACATCACAAATTATAGCAGCTTTACCAAGTGGCTGATGTCATCATCAATGTGTTGACATTTATATCAGCAGCTCAATACTCTAAACGCATATAAATGAGTAGAGACACATAGATGTGCATAGAGACCCATAGAGACCCACAGCGACACAGAGATACAAAGAGACACACAGAAATCCATAGAGACCCATAAACTAAACTATTTTACATACCAGGTGTAAGGCCCCACCGAGCTGTGTAGCTCTTTTTAAGAAGTGACCCTGGCCATCACAAATGATAGCAGATCAGCCAAGAGGCTGATATCATCGTCACTGAGAAATCTATATAAACAAATACTGTGAACGCGTGGTGATGTTGATTCTAAATGTGGGAGGGATAAACTGGAGGACCCTGTACAAAACTCGACGCGACCAGGGGGAGAGAGACGTGGATTCCAAATATACAGTAGCAAGGCATCAGGGTCTCGGATCGAACCCACAACATCGTCCATACCCGGCGAGGTAGTTAACATCTCCTAGCCACCGTGATGTCAGGGTCGGGATTGAACACATGCTCTCCTGCAAACCCAGGAAGGTAGTTAACAGTCTCCTAGCCACCGTGATGATGATGAAATAAAGACTCAGATTCCAAATATGCAGCAGCAGCAGGCGTCATCAGGGTCACGATCGAACCGAGATCTCTCTAGCCACCACCGGGATGCCCCAATGCTCAGCGTCCTCACCCACTGTGAATTCATCTGCCAACAGTGGCCGCTTTGGGTGGGGACAAACTGCAGATCTCCTAGCCACACTCCGTCCTCTCCGCTTCACGTTATCCGTTCTGTCATCGAGTTACAGGACGAGGATCTGCAACCCGGGTGCTGAGGGGTTCCCCAAGGCCGACCCAAAGGCGGCCGGGCGGGGTGGTGCTGCTGGCCACCCCCCCTCTGTGTGTGCCGCAGTGCCGGTAGCCTTCCTAGGTGCTGCTACTAGCTAACAACCCCTGCGGTCTGCTAGTGCTACATGGGGTTCTTTGCCTTTGTGTGCCACGTGTTACCAACCTGGCAACCAGAGTTCGATTCCCGCACACAGTCAAGACCATAAACAGCGATTATCTGACCGGTTCTGGGCCACCCCTAGGTCGACTCAGCCTAAAATGTGGGATTCTTTGCTTTTGAAGGTGGTATATGTCTGTGTGTTTAAGTGTGCACTATAACGGAGCGACGCTCACAACAACGAATGGAGCGCCGGGCGTATAATTGCTGCGAGTTGGCACAGTCGGGGGTACAGCTGGTGGTGCATCTACCAGTCATCTCAGTCAGCCAACCCATGGCTTCAAGATGCTGGGGAGCAATGGATGAGCCCTACAATATTCCTGGTAGCCACACAAATTTGTTTGCACCTTACCTCTTGTAGCCCGATGCTGATCGTCGCACTTTCAG